CCTCTGCTCTTTCAGGAGCTCTGGCAGCTTAAGTTCCTAGAGTCTCCTGCAGGTTCTACTTAACCCTGTGTTCTTCTGAGCACCTGAAGTCCTTCAGGCAAGATGACAACTGCCAGTTAACACACCCTACAAACCCATAAAAGCCCACCTCTCCCTTTGATTGGAGAGCAGCCTGGTCTCCTCGTTGATCAGTGCTGGCTCCTTCCAGCACCATCAAAGCCTTGCCTGTATTCCCTGCACTCTTGGCTTGGTCTCATTCTTATTGTTTTTGTGCCAAAAGACCCCAAGTTTCAGGTAACACCTTTCCCTAGCATGCTCTCTTCCTTTCTCCTGCAAATAAGTGGAAAAGTAATATTCTAAGACTCTAAGACCATGTTGTTCAAGATTCCACCAGTTCCAGAAAAAGGTTATCTTCATAGTGACTAGAAAGTTTATCAAGGTCAACCTGAATTCTCTACTATTCCCTGATATTAGGTTTCCCTGGCTGATTGACAGGGCCAGAACTAGGGGGAAGCAACAGTCAAGTCTGCACTCAATGACCACAAGAGTGGGTAACTCCTTAAACCTGTAGCCTCAGTATTTCACTTACTTTTCCTTTGGTCCAGCCCTGACACTGGATCCCAAGAAATGGATACTGTGGTCTTCTGCCCAGACACCCTATGTAATAATCCAGCTTCTGGGACTATCAGCTGATCATGGCTCACTGGGAATTACTGTGGCCACTGTAATTACTGAGGCAGCCTGTGGCTGAGGACTGGCTGATGTGGGGATACAAACATCCACTTTGGAAGTGCTCTAAAGGACTTTTTTTTTTTTTGGTGGCACTAGGGTTTGAACTCAGGACCTCATGCTTACTAAGCAGGCACTCTACCACTTGAGCCACTCCACCAGCCCCAAAGACTATTTCAAATCCAGAGTTCCAGAGCTCAGTTCCCACCACCATAATCAAGAAACATGATGCTTGATAAGCTCCTCAGGACCTGAGGTTACACAGACTACACTTCAGTATACTACTCTAATCCATTTATTTACCAGGTAATATGGAAGACTGCCAGCTTTGAGCAGGACCCAGAATAGGAAAGGGCTCCATAGCAGGGTCAGGCTGTGTGACCCAGCAGGTGCCGTGTTACTAGAGCTATCCGTGATAGGAAAAGGCACCTCATGGAGTTTCTGGCCAGCCCCATAGCAGAAAATTATGGACACCTAGGGTTCTTAAGCAAGACCCACCATCTGCAGGAGGAGCTACATGCCAACAGAATGCTATTGGGCCCTGGTAGAAATGAAGCTGCTCTTCAAGTGGCACTAAGTGACCAGGAAACCGGCTTCTAGATGGTTCCACTGAGGCATTTCTTGGTGTTACTTACCTAGTTCAATGATAAGTGGTCAAGAATAGCGGTCAAGGCTTAAAAAGAACTAGTATCCAAACATCAGAACCTTCAGGAATGAGAATGTGGGTCATCCCTGCAATAAGCCACTCAGAGCAACAGAGATGCACCAGTCAAAGGCAAGAAGAATCTGGTACAGGTGGTAGACAGAAGGGGCATACGGATATCAGTTGGAGCCTTGGGATCAGCATCAGGGACTGGAGTTTTTCCACTAACCTAGGAAACAAAACCAACTACAATCCTGGAGACGCATGCCATCAGAGATGGGCAAACTCCCTAGGAGAGGCAAGTGGGTCCCAGCAGCTCAAAGGGTGGTCAATCATCGATACTTTCCACCCAGCCTCTCTTCAGGGCCCACATACCCCCTACTGATGGCTCAGAGATTCATCTCTCACTAGAAATTGCTTTACCCAAACTATACCCCTTCCTAGGTCAATAGCTGGTCAGTAGCTGGCCGATGGGGATGTAAAGGCCAGCACTCTTCCCTTGGGACAACTCTGAAGGGCCTCCCCAGTTCCTGTGGAATTAGCTGAGGTCTCCAAGCACATTGCAGAGCAGCGTCTCCCTCTGCCTGGTCCTGCATTCCTTACCCTCTTCCAGGAACATCTCCTGAAAACACTCCTAATTAATGCTCTGCATGCAGCTCTCCAGCTGAGTCTTTCAGTGGTGCTAAACCCCAGACATCCCCCCTGAGCTCAGGCAAAATATTGGGAAACCAAACAATGCTGACCCGTGCTCTTGACTCAAGGGAAACCAACAGCTGAATGGTTGCCTTACATGCATCTTCAGTTTGGTTGTTCCCAGCCTGTCACCTTTCACTGGAGGTCATGAGCTACCCCAGCAGCAGGAGGAAGCAGCCTACCCTACACTTCATTGGTTACTTCTACTCATGTGCCCTTCCCCGCTAAAGCCATATGACTGTAGAGAATTTTCAATAATTATAGTAAAGTCTTCAGTAAGACAAGGACAAATCCAGGGGCCTCTGCTGGGGAATGTAACCAAGCTTGTCCTTCCAAAGGGAAGGAGAAGAAGGGCTATAAGCATTTATGAGGTCCATGGGGGATTCAGTGTTATGCTAGAGTATTTTTAGTAAACGACAGAAAATGTAGAAGCTAGGCTGATTGATTGACAGACAACCCAATTTTTAATCTGGACATCTTTAATAAATTCTGCAATGCAGGATTATCCATCTTATCTCACCTGGATTTCTACCTTCACAAGGAGATGGCCTCAATTTTAGAGGCCAGAAAAAGTGGTGTCTTTATCAAAAGGCTCACTGCAAATGCTCACATTCAGCAACTCTGAGATAGTCCCCAGGAGTCAAGTTTCATCAACTTTTCATGGTAAGAGTTTTCCTGACTAGTTACACATAGGGAGCTGGTCACTTTACATAAACCTAAATTTAAATGCAAGCAAAACACAAATGCTAGTTTCACCTGAGTGTTCCAAGAAGCTTAAATCACAATGGCATGGCTCATGTGTTGACAGCATCTCTTTTGATCCTTACAGCCCTCGAAGCAGGGGCAGTGCCTGTTTCATCCCCATTTGACAGATGAACAAACTGAGGACTGCCAAAGTTAAATAAGATCACAAACATCGTATCAGAGCTGGAACCTCAACCCAGTCTGTCTGATGTCGAGCCATGTTCTTAATTACAACATCATATTCCACATCCTGAGGATTTTCAGCAATATCTCCTGTACATTATAACATCATAGTCACTTATATTTTAGACTTTAACACTTATATATAAAATTGAATGTTTCCTACAATGATTTGAAATTTTAAAGTAGTATATCCTCCCCTCTTTTTTGTAGGATGGGAGTCTATTTTCAAGATGATTACATTTATTTAAAGGCATTTCTTACTTCCACGTTAATAGAATTCAAATTACAATTTTTTAGAGTCAAAGTAAAAGTCAAAAGAAAGTTCTATATTTGATCTTCTGTTTCAAATTAACATATTGAGGACGGGAGAATGTCTTCCTTCCTTCCTTTCTTATTTTTTGCCATACTGGGGTTTGAACTCAGGGTCTCACGCTTCCTAGGCAGGCAATCTTACTGCTTAAGTCACTCCACCAGCCCTTTTTTGTGAGGGTCTTAAGAACTATTTGTCCCGGGATGGCTTCGAACCATGATCCTCCTGATCTCTGCCTCTCAAGTAGCTAGATTACAGACGTGAGCCCCTAGTACCTGCCTGGGAGGATGTCCTGTCTAGTTTGCAAGTGAGATTTCCATATTGAATTCTGTTGCCCAGAATTTCTTTCTTTGAAGAGATGGGGTTGGAGGTAGGAACCATGCTGTGGATAGGTAGTGCTGCATATTTGCCCCATAACGACTTTTTAAAATTGTTTCCTATTCTTTGAAGATATCTTCAAGCTTACCTTTTATTTATTTAAACATAACGAGTGAGAAAAGTTGCTTATTGTTTGTAGTTTAGACAATGGTATTACTGTCGAAAGCCTTGATAGAGCTGCTTCTATTGCTTCTATTGTCTGTTTTTGCTGGTTCTTATTCATGGAATTCAGTTTCCTTGTGTGCCTGGTTATCACTTTTTTTTATGGTACTTGGGATTGAACTCAGGTCCTCACACTTGCTAGGCAAATGCTCTACTTGACCCATGCCCCTCAGTCCTTTTGCTTTTAGGTTGTTTTTGTTTGTTTCAAACAGAGTCTTGTGCTAAATTTGCCTGGGCTAGCCTTGAACCTTGATCCTCTTACTTCTGCATACCAAGTAGTGGGGACCACAGATGCGTATCACCATATCCAGCTTGTTTTTGAGACAGGGTCTTGCTAACTTTTGCCTGGGCTAGCCTCTAACCATGATCCTCTATGTCTGACTCCTGAGTAGCTGGGATTACAGGTGAGCCTGGCCTCATAGTCCCATAGTTTAAAATTGTTTATAGAAATAATATGAAGCCTAAGATAAAAGTGTCTTTGCCCATAGAAGATCTGCATCTGTAATGTGTTGGCTATACCAGTCTCTAGGACCATCTTAAGCCAAGTCCAAGGTCTGAGATTTCTGGTCCTGGATGATCTGAGTGATTGAAATCTGGGTTGTAATTTTGCATGAGCACTGCTCTATTTCTATTCACTTTCCCCCTGTGGCTATCAGACCTGGGAGCCCAGCTTGCTGTAGAAAGGTTCTCTTCTCCTTGCACTAGCTCTGATTTCTGCCCACACCCCCAACCAGACTGTAGTCCCTCCAGGAAATTCCCCATCCAGGATCAGTAAATACCCTCAGTTCACTCACTTCTCAAGCTCCTGTACTCCCTTTCCCTATTGACCTAGTTATTTCTTCCTGTCTTGTAACAAATTTAATACTATTGATGATCTGAAAAGATACTTGATACATTTTTAAAGTCTCTCCAGTGGTCAAAATAGTTTAGCCTCCCATGACCAGGAAGCCTCCTCCTACAGGCTTCTGAAATAACCACTTGGGTTGGGTGTCAGTGGCTGTAATCCCGACTACTCAGGAGGCAGCGATCAGAAGGATCATGGTTTGAAGCCAGCCCAGGAAAATAGTTTGTGAGACCCTATCTCAAAAATACCCAACACAAAAAGGGCTAACAGAGTGGTACAGTACATGCCTAGCAAGTGTGAAGACCTGAGTTCAAACCCCAATACCACCAAAAAGAAAGAAAGAAAGAAAGAAAGAACCACTTGGAGCCAGGCGTGTACATGTCTATAATTCCAAGTACTTGAGAGGCAAAAGCAGAAGGGTCATGAGACGGAAGCCAGCCCAGGCAAGGCAGCAGCAAATAATAAAATAAAATAAGAGGATTGTAAGTTCTAGGCTAGCCTGGGTTACAAAGCAAGTTTAAGACTAGTCTGGACAATAAATAAATAAATAAAGGGCTGGGGGTACAGCTCAAGTGGTAGAGCGCTTGCTAGTATGTGTAAGGCCCTGGGAAATAAAGAACAAAAGAAATAACCACTTGAGGACCGTACAAATAAGTGTTGAGAAACACCTAAAGTTGGATTTATCTATCTTAAAATGCAATCATCAGTTTTTCAACAGACCTGTCTTTAATCGTGCTTGCTAAGGTCTGCTGTTCACAGAAGTGCCCTGGGTCTTCAAAGGCAGGCTTGGGTGGGAAGAGAGTTGCCTGAGAATCACCTGCAGTGTCAGGTGCATGGGTCCTGCCACCAAGCAGCTGTGCAACCTTGTTGATAAGGCCGGCTCCTGGCTGGTTTACGCATCTGGAAAATGAGAAGAAGAAGAAGGCCTGTCTCACATGTTGTCATGTGGATTAAATGAGATTAAATAATACATGGTACCTGGTAGGTGTTGGATAAACATTATTTTTCTAAAGTGCTGATGTCCTAGGATGCTCTGACCATTTCTCTCTCCCTCTCATATGTGCATAGGTCTCGTTGATTGGCTGAGAGCCACTGCCTTATTTAATGATGATTTGAATAAATCACTCAGTCCCAATGGTCCAGTTGCTAAGAACATTTTCTGAAGGCCTGACAGGCAGCTTCCTAGATTTTATCTCCATGAACTCATTCTGTGACCTACAAATTGAAAGAAGGGCAAGAATTCAGCTGTGGAAAGGGCCTGGAGACCCCCTCCCCAACAAAAAGGTACCCCTATAGCCATGTGCAAGTCGTGCTGTTGTGATAAAGCTGAAAGCTGTTTGAAAATAATCAAAAATTCTCTCAGGAAGCCCAATTATATTTTTACATCAAGAATCAAAATGCTGGTGCTGCATACTTCAGCCTATCATTCACAAACCTTTTATCCTGTAATTAAGCCAGATCTGCTGCTGGGCTAATTCTTCCCTGAATGACACCACCCTTTGAGCCAGCCCGCATGTTGGGAGAAGACTTCACTCTGATAATCTATTACACCAATACATCACTGCGGTGAGCTGCCTCCTTAATGATTTATCCATAACACATCATCAGAGTGAGGCACACTCATAATATATTGCTCAATAAGTCTGCTGTGGCCAAGGGAGGAAGCCACGAACAGCAGCCGAGTCCGTGCCCTGACATGGCTGGTGTCAGAGCATGGGCCCACACTGAGTTCTCTCTTCCTAAACAAATGTTTGTATAGGCGGGAGGGCTCGCATGCCAACAGGCTTTTAAAGCATGAAGAACCATGACCTTAAGAGAGTCCTATAAATCCAGAGCAGAAAGGCCTGCAGGAAGGGGTTTGCCTCTTAAGCCTATCATTTTTAGACACTCTCTTCAAGCTCTTACTCTGAAAAGGGCAGGGCCACTGCACTGCACAACCTCAAGGGCCACCAATCACATTGCAGTCTGTGCAAATGGTGCCCCATGGACCTGTAGGTGGTGCAGCCCAAGTTGCCCCATAGGACAGTCCTATGGTTAAAAGCATAGACTGTGGCATCAGGTTGCCTCATTGGATCAGGTTCTAGGAATAACAATGGTGTCTCCTGGGCTGTTGTGAGATTGAATAAAAAATGCACTTAGAGCACCTAACCCATGGAAAGCTCTCAGCCAGGGTTAGTCACTAGTGATTGACCTTTGTCTTGAGAGTGACGCAGCCTTCAGGTCCAGAACACGGGTAGCACGCAGCCCCTGAATATTGTATTCTCCATTCCATGGGCATGGAAAAATTTTTGTTCTTACATGCTGCTTCATTCAAAGGAAAAAGGAAGGAGAGTGGATAAATGGATGCTTACAGTCATACACACCAGGATGAAAATTAACACATCGGACTATTAGAAGAAAGAGGAAGAAAGATTAAGCAAAATGCAGGCAAAACCAATGCACAAAATGAGTCCAGAAACAACTAGGGTGGGAGGCCAAAACATGCTCTGGGAGTGTGAGTCAGTGCAACCACCCTGGAGGACAGCTAGCATCACCCAGAAAGCTAAGGACAGGGCCTTTCCACTACCCAGAAGTTCCACACCAGGGGCCCTGGCTCAGAGTAGCATGTTCTTGCACACAGGCACAAAGAAACGGGTGTAATCACGCTCCCTGCAGTGTCCTAGAGAAGGTAAAAAGACCGGATGCAACACAGAGATCCATCAGCACAAAGTAAATGCATAACACTGAGAGCCAACTCTTAAATGGTGCATAGTGCGTATTAGGAATATCTTAAATGGTTTACATCTATTAAACCTCTTACTTCTCTCATCAACTCAGTGAGATAGGGAGTGTCATTAGCCCCATTTTATAAATGAGGAGATTGACTCAGGGAGAGGTTAAGTAATTTGCCACAAGTTACAGAAATTGGAAGTGGTAGAACTGAGGTTTGTTTTGTGGTGGTTGTTGTTTTGTTAGTTTTTGCAGCGCTGGGGATCAAACCCAGGGCCTTGTGCACGCTAGGCAAGTGCCCTGCCACTGAGCTACACCCCAGCCAGAGATACAGTGAGTATCCATTCCTGTGAGTATTTGCTTTGTGTTCTTTGTAACTTTTGTATGCCGGAGACTAGCTTATACCCTAGCTATGTATGACTGTAGATTTAGCTCTGAATTTCCTTATAGGCAAAACTAAGTGGGAAACTAAGATACCGAACTTACCAAAGCCATGAAAATAAATAAATAAATCTTCCCAGTTGTTCAGAAGCAGCACAGGTTTTCTTGAACTAAGATGTGAAAGAAACTCCTCTATGGTTCTCCATAAAAGAGGGGTAATGACATTCCTTAGGAAAGGAAAATAAGCATGCACGATATGACCATTTCCTAGTGTGCTTTCAACGTGTGCTACTAATTTAGTGTCAAGGCAGGATTTGGCAGAAACTGCTGGGAGAGGATCCATCTCTACCGCCAGCATTTGGGACACTTCTAGGAAGAACAGGCCTTGGTGAAGCAGACAGGAGACAGGCAGAACCTGGCACGTTCCTGGGGGTCTGAGACGACCTAACTCCGAACAGGACTCTCCTCAAACTCCTGGCCCTGGCCGTGGGACTGGTGTCAGTGGACGCTCTATCAAGGCCATCTAGAAGCACGAGACATGGAGATCAGGCTGGTAGCTACTGCCCTGGTGTCTGAAGGCATCCACTTCTTGTCTAGTGCCTGTCACAGTAACTCTGACTTCTCAGAGAAACTTTGGTTCTTACCCTTACTTTACAGTGCAGTGAATCAAGAGGTAAGGTTGTTGGGTGAGAAATGGAGGCTTAAATGTATTAGGTAGGTCCCCAAAGGACCTGAGTTCACTCACAGTTCTGGAGGCCAGATGCCCAAAATCAAGATATCAGCATGGCTGTCCTTCCTCCGAAAGTTCTAGAAGAAGATCCTCCCTTGCCTCACATTTTCTGGTGGCTGCCAATGATGCTCAGTGTTCCTGGGCTTGCGGCTACATCACTTCTATCTGCCTCGGTCCCCACGTTCCTGTCTTCCTTCTTTGTGTCTGTCCATTTCCACAGCTTGCTATCTACATTAGGATACCAACCACTGGCTTTAGGGCCCACTATAGCCCAAGAGGACCTCTCTTAACTTGAATCCATCTGCAAAGACCCTGTTTCCAAACAAAGTCATATTCACAGGCCCCAACAGTGAGGACTTCAACCTCTCTTTTTGGTTTTTGTTTTTTTGGAAGGGGGAATACAATCGAGCCCAAAACAGAGCATTAGCTAGTCTCATTACACAGAGGAACTAGAATGGGCATATATCCCACGGAAGGAAGAGAGAATCTAAGCAAGCTAAACCCTCATCCATCACAGCATAAGGCCAAGAGCCAGTAACTGCAGTTGGTAAAGCAATTAGGGTGGTATAAGCTGGTCCTTTGATTAAGGCAACTGCTAGAAGCACTAAAAACAGAATTGTTGAAAGCTATTGGCCCCAGAGACAGGTCTGGGTGAGGGAGTAGAGAACTTGTTTAGAGGTTTGTGGGGAAACTTGAAGACAGAGTGAGGCTCAGGTAATATTAAAAAATGACTGTTAATTACCATGATACTAGATTTGATCACAGTTTTGTGTTGATGTAAAAAAGGGTCTTATTTTTCAGAAAAGCAGGTTGAAGCCTTGGGTAGGAGTGGCCACGTCTGAACTTACTTTAAAACACTTCAAAATAACTGGGGTGTGGCACAGTGGTAGAGCACTTGCTTAGAATGTGTGAGGCTCTGGATTCCATTTCTAGCACCACAAAAAAAAATAGAATACTTCAATTAAAAAAAAATAAGATACTTCACAATAAGATACTCCAGAAAAAAATAAAGATATGCAAATATAAATGAAAAGAATCTATTAGGTTCCAGATTCTGGGCTGCACTGGATGTGGCTCAAAATGGTTAGGTGATTTACCCAAAGCCAGCATCAGGATTCATACTCAGCTATTTTGACTAAGACATCAGAAGACAAAGACTAGAGCTCTTCCTCTGTCAACACCTTGGTTAGTACACATAGCTTTACACTCTGATGGTCTAGCATCCCAGGTGACCAGCCAGAGGATCCTATCACCCATCTGTAGGCCAGGGTAAATGGAAGAAGAGGGTCAGGAGACAGTGGGTAGAGTGATGGTAGACCTCTCTTGCCCTCCAGGCCTCACCCCCACCCTGTCCACCATTTCAGCCCTGGCAGCTCACATACTCTCCATGCCCTTCACAAGGAAGAGAAGCAGAGGAAGTCTCAGAAACTCCTGCCCAAGTTGCTGAATGGCTCCAGGACCCAAGAACAATGTCCCAGAGGTTGTACCCACTTTTCTCAGCTGGGCCTGAGTTTAGTTGATAGTAATCTTCCAGCTTTCCTTCATCTTTTGGGGTATGGAGCAGGGATTGGGGGAGGAGAGAAAGCAGAAAAGTGTATATAGGATGACAGGGAGAGGAATGATAAGGAAGGAAAGAGAGATAAAGAAGTGCCATTAAGACACTGATTTCAGGGCTAGGGATGTAGCTTAGTGATACAGTGCTTGCCTAGCATGTGCAAGGCCCTGGGTTAGATCCCCGCCACAACAAAACAAAGACACTGATTTCACCCAGGTATAATAGTGCACTCCTGTAATCTCAGCACTCAGTGAGACTGAAGTAGGAGGATCATGGATTCCAGGCCCAGCCTGGGCTACATAGTGAGATGCTATCTCAAAAAGAAAAAAAGACTCTGATTTTACAAACCCACACACATACACACACTCTAAGAAATAGCTAAGTAAAAGCAAATTTTTCAGTGAAATCTACCAGCACTAAGTAAGTTCCAAGTTCCCAAGATGATTGGTTTTCTCACTTTGCTCTTTTTGCTTGTCATTTTTTAATAAGGTTTTGTTTTATTTATGGTACTGGGGATTGAACTCAGGGCCTTGCACTTGCTAAGCAAGTGCTTTATTAGCAAGTGCTTTACCACTTGAGCCACACCTCCAACACTTTTCATTTTTAAAAATATTTATTTGTTCATTTGGTGCTAGGAGGAGGTGAAGTGGAGGACAGCTTGAGAAAGCTGAGTGTTTAAACAAGTGGTGGTGAAAGGGAACACAATACCATTTTTATTTCTTCCCCATGTTAATCGAAAGCACATTCCTCCCACCCTGTGGTGATCACGGGAGAGCAAAAACTGACAACTGCCAAGACTGCCAAGACTGCCGAGAACTTGGCTCGTGTTCTCATTTGGTCCTTACAACAACTCGAGGAGGTAACTGTTCTTATTCCTGTCTTACAGATAAGGAAATTAAGGTTCGAGTTGTCCACTAACTGCCCTAACATCACCAGACAAAGCAATAGATCAGGCTTTTGTTCCTCCCAGGACTGTGTTTTTTCTGCTGTTCTACACTGCTGCCCTGGCCTGCACTTGTCCATACCCCCCCCCACCAGTCCTCCTCAGCAAATCTGCAGAGGTGTCACTGAGTGGAGAAGGTTAGGAAACAGTGCTCTGGGCAGAGTCTCCAAGGGCTCAGCACAATTATCTCCTTCCTCTACTCCTATTATGGTACACAACGCTGCTCTCTCTCTTGCTCTCTCTCTCTCTCTCTCTCTCTCTCTCTCTCTCTCTCACTCACACACACACACACACACACACACACACGCCCAGGCCTTTGTCATTTGTCCTGTGGGCTGTCCCCTCCCATCTCAGCAGCACCCCAGGACCTCAGCTTCCTAAATCTCAGCCAGAACATTATTTTACAAGGACACTCACCAACCTTGAAAGGCAAGGTACCCTGAGGCAAGGAAATTAAAAAAAAAAAAAAAAAAAAACCCTATTAATTGAACAACATGAGAGTGCAGCGCCATCTAGTGGTGCTAGAGCTGACTGCTCCCAGGTGGTGACATTTTCAGACAATCAATACCTCATTATTAACCATAATCACAACCTGATGTTTACTTTTGGAGAAACGTTCAGCAGCAAGGGATGCACATACACTTTTCTGCATGTTTCAGAGGACTACGATCCTAAATGCCACAATGACTATTAAACAGTGTCCTGCCCATGAGCAAACAGGAGCAGAGATTGATTGTATTATCTTTTTCATCTAAACTGTTCACCAAAAACAAAGCATCCACTGAAGCCAGTGACCTTTCACTAACTGCTGGAAGGAAAATGCTTGATAAATAACAAATAGACCACTACTGGATGTTGCTTTGAACCATCTTTTAATTAAAGGAATTGAGCAACTAGAAAGTCAGGTGACTGATGTTTATTTAAGTTATGATCCAGGAAGTGTCAATCAAGGGTAAAACTACACTTGAAATGTAGTTTGTCAACTAGCAATCCAACAAAAACTCCCTCTTTGCCATCTCACCGATGGTGGATGGTGGGGACAACACTGTCTCCTGCCTTCTTTGCCCTCCCTTAGCAACCTTCTCATTATCTTGCTGCAGCAATAACCACTTGTCTGGCTCAGCATTCCACAGAAACTGCTTCAGTGCTGGGCTCATCCAATCACAGACCCGCCTGCCACATTGAGTGCTATCCTAGAGTGGCACAAAAGCCATTTCCTATCTTTTCCACAGGAGGGCAGGTGCTGTTCCTCAGCCAGCCAAGGTGACCTCAACCAAGTTGCTCACTGAATCTGCTCAGACATCTCTCATTTAACCCAACACAGTCAAAGGATGGAAACACATGACTAACCTTGCCAGAGTCAGTCTCCCACCTTTGGGCTGTCCTGGAATCGAGCTCAGGAACATAGAGACCAGGAAGAATGCAGGAACCTGTACTACCCTGCCTCACCCTTGCTCCAATGGCCTTTTCCTTGTTTCTACTTCCAATGCCCTGACTTCACATCTAGCGCCACATTGTCTCATATGTCCTAACCCACAAATACTGGGGACAAGTGCCAGTCCAATTCTGAGTCAGGTGTCAGGCCTGGTCACAGTCAAGAACTGAGGACGACAAATGAGGTCCAACAACTTCGGCGTGCCACACCTGGGTTTGTGGAAGCAGAGGCAGGTGCTTGAAGAAAATTTGTACCCTCCCACTTGAATGACATTAAAAAAAATCTGAATGTTTTTAAAGTGGCAAGTCATTTATTCAGGAGAACGGTGTCATTTCAATAAAATCTGGAATCCTTTGGATTCAGAGAATGCAATGCTAAGTATTATACAAAATTATAATAACAATTTGGCCATTTTTAAAGGAAAACAATCAAGCATCTGGTCTACCCGACAGAGGTAAAGGCAGAGCCCTAGAAAATACGGAAAATCCAGGACTACGCGCTCCAATATTTAGTGGGAGATGTCAGGTGTCAATTTCTTTTCCTACGTTCTTCCTTCTTCCTGTCCTTTAACTGAAGGCACTTTCTGACCAGCCCCCAACATCCTGTGTCTCTCTCTGCACCACCCTGGAGAGCTCATTTCATTCTTCTGGCTCCAAATTTTACTCTGTACTAGGGATTTTCTCCCTCTGTCTGCCACTTGGATACTGTATCTTCATCTCCTATTGAGAATTGTTCTCTTCCCTAGGAGTGTCAATTCCTGTTTCCTAGCTGTCTGTTCACTCAGGTTTGTAACCTTGGGATATAGCTGTCATCTCTTTCCTCCTTCCCACCCACTCCCCCAGTTCTAACCACCCTTCAACGTGACACTGCTGTTACTACATTCCTTCCCTGCTCATTATCCTATCCAACTGAACTCCTCTGTGTGGCTCTCAAGGCCCCATGATCTGATTCACTACCCCCATCTGTTCAAACCTGTTGCCTCTTCAAAATACTAATAAAAGTACCTATCACATACAAGTGAGTTTTGCATGATCTCAATTAACCATCACAACACTAACTTGAAGCCAAGTCAAACACTGCCCTTATTTTGCAGGCTGAGAGATACAGGACAGCACGTCAGGCCAGTAAAAACTGAAGCATCCAGAACTTCCCAGATTTTCACACTTGATTTGAGCAAACTCCCACTCTAACCTGAACACCTGCCTTGCTCTGCAAGCCCTTAGGAGGGTATGCTTCTGAAAGGCTGCTATTGCTTCAGTGGCAACAAGAAGTGAGAATTTCTGTCCTTGTTTACACTTAATAGGGAAAGAATACTTGCCACTTGAACGAAGGCCACAGTAAATTGAATGTGAGAACAGATAGCAGATCAGGCATACTAACCAGTGAAGCACCTGGGAGTACCACTGGTATAGGGGTTCAACAGGGACTTGACATGTGATTTGAACAGTAAAATTTCCAAACAGAAACACCATTTAAGACAGCACTGAAGGTGTGATGGCAGAGTGGGTGTTCCCGGCATAAGAAACAGTACACACTCCAACCCCATCTGCCCTTCTAGCCTCTCTGGTACACAATTCCTAGGCTAGTCCAGAGCTACTCTACCTGTGTTTATACCCTACGTTTATGTGATTCAAAAGGATTCCTATCCATCTTGCTATTTTTCAAGTCATTCTTGTCTTCCCAACTTGATTTTAAGCCTTTTAAAGGCATGAATGGGGTCACACCTCTATTTTTCCAAGAACACTACAGGGACCTGATGAAGGCTTTTGCCCAAACTATGGGAATTTTTGTTCTCAATTCCCCAGTAAGCTTCACACCTTTTACTATGCTCTGATCACTGAGACTCAATCTGAAGGAGTCACTGTGTGACAGCAGCTTTATCCACATCCAGACGTGCTGTCAGGGACAGTCTCTCTCCCTCTGCCAGGCCCAGGCTCTCCTCATGAGTCCTGTTTCATTTAACAAGATCAGAATGTGTGGGAAGAGGCATTCTCACACATTTCTAGTGAGAGAAAAAAATTTTTTAAATAAAGAAAAGGACTATGGAGGCATGGCTTAAGTGGTAAGCGCCTGCCCAGCAAATGTGAGCCCGAGTTCAAACCCCAGCACCGCCACGGGAAAAAAAAAAACTTAAAAAGAATAAATGAAATCCAGAAACATAAGGTTTAGAACATAATGAATGATAGCCTGCCCTACTATTGTTGCTTTGAGAATAGAACCATCTCCTTCATCTGCTTGTTAGGTCCTCTTCACAAGGTCTGGCCAGATATTTGGTAACCAGTGGTTGCTTAATACCGCTGAAAGGATGAAATTTACTTCCCATCTAAAAGTGAAGGCTTCCCCAAACACGAGGAATTGTAAAACAATGACAACTTGTGTGTAGGGAGAGCAGCATGGCTGAGAACTGCTTTTACCTGAAGGACTCATTCACTTTCACTGAGTGCAAGGATGGGTACAAGCTGTGAGACATGGACCTTTCAGTCTACCAGAAGACAGAAGTGATCATACACAAAGAACAACTAGGTTGGAAAGCCACACAAGTTTTGAAAATAAGGAATGTCTGAAGCAGTTTATTAGTAGTAAGTGAAAACTACTGGCTTGATAACAAATATAAGGGCTACAACTGCAGAGGAGTATTTCATTTATTTAGCAAAAAACAGGGAAATGAGGGGGGTGAGGGAGTTGGTAAGCACTTTAAGCACACCTCAGTAGCAGGGAGACAGGACGCTCATGGAGAACATCATCTGAGTTAGCTGCTCCTCCCCTGCCACCTCATGACCCAGGGACCAATACAAACCATTTGTGTTCAATCTTTATCTGGGTGTAACCATTCTTCATTTGTTATTTGATAAATATTTACTGAGCAGCCCACTATGTCAATTACCAACCAATATACTCAAGCTACCAAATGAAGTTACAGTTTTGGCCTTTGTCTATCACCAATGACAGGCCCTCACTCCTACTGCAAAACATAAGTCAGCTTAGCCTCTCAAGTTGAAGTCAATGGTTCTATAGCAAAAAGTACAAAGATTATCTGCAGACAGAAACCGTTGGCCAATGGACTACATACACCATACACCATGTGTGCAAGTAAAAGTCAGAAGGAGCCAGAGAGGAGACACATACCAGAGGATCAATGTAGCCATCCCACAGGCTGACAACAAGCATCTATGCAAACCTCTTCAGAATGAGTTCCATTGGAATAATCTTTATAAAGGTTTCCTCGTGTTATTTACAATTTCAAAGCAAATTTACTTTATAAACTACTAGGGAATACTTTATTTAGTAATGTCCTGAAATAAAAGTTCACAAAACTGCTTCTCTCAAACCATCATACTGAGTTTTATGACAATTCAGAAATAGGAACTAAAAGAAGGCAAATATAATGTCTCAGAGATCAAGAAATACTACATCGTTTGACTGTTAAAAATAGCTCAACATTCATCCAATAAGCGTGTGGTTGTCAGCATACACAGAATACATATTCTTCAGGGAGGGGAGAGACCTTTCGACTGCTCTCCAGGTGCCTCCGAATGCTGGTCCAATGCAACTTCTTCCTGAGACTCGTTTTCTACCAATGCAGTTTGAGGTCTGACATTCACCTGTTGGAATTTCCAAGAAATGTGACTACCTTCTTGTTGCTTAAAAAACCAGATACAAATATGCCATATCAATGTTATCATTTTCACTCATTTAACTGGCTGGAGCCACAGGACTGGTAGTCCTGTGCCTCTGAGTGAAAAATTTAGCACTAATATCTCAAGTTAGATTCTATTGTAACAGTGAATATGATAAAATTTTCTGTATTATTGTGTATTATTTTTATTATCATATCATTGTTCTACTACTGGAGACACACTGTGACATTTACAAAAGTTCATATAATATATCTTAAATTCACCCCCTCCATCATTCTCCTTTATTCCCCCTAGAACCATAATTTTAGGAGCCCTAATGACAACTCACTTATTCTAAGTAGCAAGTATTACCACAAAATTCCATTATATTCACTCTAACAATATTTGATCTGGAGTTTAAAACCATGAGCCAAGGTTGAGGAAAGAAAAATAACCCCCCTATAACTTCTGACAGGTAACAATACCAATTTTAACAATGTGTATGTATGCAATACACACACACACACACACACACACACACACACACACACACACAATTTTGCTAGGGATTGAGCCAAAGGCCTCACACATGCTAGGCAAGTGCTCTACCACTGAACTACATCCCTAGATCAAAGGCAACAATTTGAATAAAGTACTCACAGTCCTTGCTTCTCCTACTCGTCTTAAAATGACACCTTCTGCCAATAAAGCCTTCCCTGTTTCCATAAATAACTTCTCTTCATCTGTTTCGCCAAGATTCTGCAGCTCAATGTACTTCTCCACAAACCTGGAATTCCAGACCCATCTTAGGTGTGTATGTTAAGGCTGTCTTGACACACTATTATGCAGTATCAAGAATGCCCACAACAGATTTTCCTACAAGAACTTTTTTTTTTTTCTTGGTACTGGGGTTTGAACTGAGGGCTTCACCCTTGCTAGGCAGGCACTCTTACACTTTACCCATGCCCTCAAACCCTTTTTTGTTTGTTATTTTTCAGGTAGGATCTCATGTTTCTGCATGAGGCTGGCCTCAAACCATGATACTCTAATCTACTGCCTCCTGTACAACTGCAATCACAGGCACATACCACCACAAGCAGCTTCTTAAGGTGGAATCTCACTAACTTTTTGCCTAGGGTAGTCTTGAACTGCAGTCTTCCTGATCTCTGCCTCCTGAGTAGCTAAGATTACAAGCATGGGAGCCACTGGACCCAGCCAGGAATATCTTTTTCTGAAGGAGAATTCAACAGAACTCCTCGAACTGATAACCAAATCCTTGAGGATGCAGGGAGTAATTCAGGACTTGAAAATGGCTTACCGTTGACAGACAGACTTGAAGTTTGGATTGAACATATCAAAAGCTTTTTGACCAGATCCATAGGCAGAATAAAATTTCCTAGAAAACATAAAAACACAATATAAATCTCCAATCATAGATTGTGGCCAGTGGGGCAGAAGAAAGAAACAACTGCTAGGCTCTGAGGAGTGAAGTATAGCCTAAGCTGAAGAGCTGTTGTTTAAATGAATGTAGCAAACACATCAAATGCCACAAGAGCATACAGTGAAAAGCAACATTCCCTCTCCCTTCTACACCCCAAATCTCCAGGTTCTTTCTCAGGAAGCAACACTAACCAATTTCTTTCTTTACAAACCTTTTTGTTGTACAGAAAATAAAAATAAAATGCTGTTACAATCCCAGTGTAACTGGCAGCCATGGATGGCTGACTCTCTAATCACAACTATCCATGTAAAAGCAAGAATCTTACACAAAAATGCTAACAATGCTTACAATTTTGTTGGGGCCAAGTCCCCAAGCTTGATGGATTATCAAAAGGGACTAAACGGAAGAAAGCAGAATGTTACAGAAGTATTCCTTGGTTCTTTGGGTAGATGGATGTCCTGCAGTTTGTACCACAGCTATCATTTATTTATTTATTTATTCATTCATTCATTCATTCATTTATTTATAAACAGCTATCAAATCCATGAACAGTCTAATACTGAACTGTTGTTTTTGCAGGTTATCTGGGGTCTAATCATCTCCTTCCTTACCTGTCTTTCTCTTTTCACCTTTCCTCCTTTCTTTCTCCTCTTCATCCTTAACTTCTCCATCATGTCCAAATTCTTCTTCCTCACCACTGACCTCGTTTTCATCCTCTTTTTCATCAGTCTTCTTCCTCACCATCCTCATCCTCCTCATTGTCCTCATCTTTTCCTTCATCCACACCATCCACCTCCACATCTGAGTAGAGGGCTGAAGGCTTCCTGGTCCTCTTGGTTATAGCCATCCAGGTGGGTCAGCTGGGGAAGCAGCTTGAAGATGCTCTCTCCATAGTCATTCAGGTTAGTGACCCCACGGTTACATATCCAGGCTTTTCAAGACAGTCCAACTTTTTCAAAGGTTCTAAGATGCTGATATCTTTCAGTTTATTTCCACTTAAATTTAGATGTGTGAGATTTGGAAGTTTTTCTGATAACGTGTCCAGACCTCCCCAAGAGTCTACTGTCCCTAAGCTCAGTGACAACAGAGCTCAAGCCTTTTCAATTTAGGTAGCTAGGAGAGATTTGAAACTGTAATCAAGCCTACATTCATTTATTTATTTTTAGAGGGACTGAGGTTTGAACTCAGAGCTTCATACTTGCAAAGCAGGAGCTCTACTGCTTGAGCCACACCTCCAGTCCAAGCCTACATTTATTAAACTGAGGAACTCTTAAAATCACAATTCAGCTGTTAAACCTTCAATTTTTCCATCAATTGTCCAAGACAAGTTCTCAAACAGCTGTCGGAAGGGTCTGCTGGGGGTAGCAGCCAGCAGCGGAGTCTGGGTGGTGTTTGAGAAAGGGGGACTGGAACATGGCACTTCTTACCATTGCCCCCCCCAGCCACAGCCCCACCACTAACCAGTGTATCTACCCAGAAATATCCTACCAAAATATAACCACATGTGCATCCATCATTCCCTGCCCCAGCCACATTCTTTAGCCCCAAATAGAAAGAAGCCCTGCTCTACATCTTCCCTCTCAAATTAAGATGAAATTTGCACATCAAAAAAATATCATTTTTTCTGGGCACTGGTGGCTCATACCTGTAAACCTAGCTACCCAGGAGGCTGAGATCAGCAGGATCTCAGTTCAAGGCCAGTCCCAACAAATAGGTCACAAGACCCTATCTCGAAAATAACAAGAGCAAAATGGACTGGAGATGTGGCTCAAGCAGTGGAGTGCTGCTTTGCAAAGTGTGAAGCCCTGAGTTCAAACCCCAGTCCCACAAAAAAAAAAAAAAAGGAAAAATTTTTAAATGTACAATTCAGCAATCTGAGTACAATTAGAGTCCTGCAACTACACCCTTTATCTAGTTCTAAAACATCTGCATCATTTCCAAAGAAAGTCCTGCACCCATTAGCCAGTCACTCCTATCCCCACATCTTCCCTTTTCAACTTGTATTTCTTAGAGATAATCTCAAATCAGTGCAGGTTTCTAGTCCTTGCTACTCCAGTCAGTGCTGCCAGGATTACCTGTACCTGTACTTCCTATTACACTCTGCAAATAAATCTGTGCAATAAATTCACAGAAGTGGTATTAAGTGGGATCAAGGTGTATGCTTAATTGTAAAGAAGCCTTCCAAATTGCCAAAATACTTCCCAATGCAGCTGCACCAATTTATACTCACACCAGTAACGTATGGGCCTATTTCCCCATATCCTGACCAAATATATTCCAACCTTTTGACCCTTGATAATTTGGTGAGATTATAATTGCAGTTTCAATATGCCTTTCTTTAATGAAAGGGATCAGACATTTTATCAAGTTTAAAAGCAAACTGAATTTCCTTTTCTATGAACTATCTATACTCTTTGTACATTTTTCTATTTGGTAGTTGCTATGAACTGAATGTTTGTGTCCCCTAAAATTCATATGCTAAAACCCTAATTCCCAAGGTGATGAAGTTTGGAGACAAGACTTTTAGAAGGTCGTCAGGTAATGCATGAAAGTCCTTATAGTAGAATTAGTGCCCTTAGAAAAGATAGGCATGTTGCTTCCTTTCTTTGCTCTCCCCCATGTAAGGACGCAGCAAGAAAATGGTCCTCTTCAAATAAGTAAGAGGATCTCAGACTTTCCAGTCTCTAAAATGCTGAGAAATAAATTTCTGTTGCCTATAAGCCACCTAGTCTATGGAATTTATTATAGAAAACTGAGACAGTGGTCTTTTGCTTACTGATTTAGCCCTTTGTTATACATGTTAGAAAATTTTTCCTTATTTTTGGAGTTGTGGCTCAAGTGGTAGAGCACCTTCCTAGCAAGCAGGAGGCCCTGAGTTTAAACACCAGCACTGCCAAAAAAAAAAACAAACCTCAAAACACAACAAAAAAAGCCAGTAATAATATATAAGCAGAGCAGTAAAATACTCCAACATTGTCCAATGAACTATCATCCAGTTTCAATGCCCTCCACAGCAGAAGCACAAATGAAGCTAGTGTCTAAATGAAGTACAAAAGCACCCTGACCAAGTACGTACAATAGATCTAAGCAAAAAGATACTGAAAAAATCTTTAATCACCCCAAAGATCCCATGTTCTACTCTGAACAGTTCCACATAGAGCGAAAACACACTTGCTCTGCTACCTCAACAAAGTGCTAAGAAAAAAACCAAATCTTCAAATAAAAGATGACTGGATCGCAGTGAAGACTATAAAGACTCTATCAATACCATTTTCTTGTGTCCAGGAATAGTAGTAAGAAAAAGGGATGTGCATGAATTTCAGTTAGGCACAATCAAGGGTCTTACCATTTAAAAGAAAAGGAACCATACAAATCCTAGGCACTAAAAACTGCTATGAGTATTTGAAGGAAGGGCTTTGTCAGTAAAATTCCCAGTAATTTATCATTTATTTAGAATTCAGACATGTTAAAGGGACTGAATGTGGCCTTAGAAGTCATTTCTAATCCACTGTTCCAGAAGTTGTTTCAGGGACAGGGATGTTCCTGATAGATGTTCCTGATAACGCTGATGGCTATTCTTCAAACAGCCCTAATCCTGGCCCTCCATCCTTCCTCTTCAAGGAATTTTCTCAGGTCTCCTTCTACTAGCCTAGTAGTTCATTCATTCATTAATTTACTAATTTCTTCATTTATGACACAAGTACAATTTATATGCCAAACACTGGGTGAGACACTAAGGTCACAAGGATGAGTAAGACAGTGCCTTGTGTTGTTGGTAAGATGAACCTGGAATGTGTTAAAGTTTTTAAAAATGTCTGTAATTGACTAGACAGGGTGTTTGGCATGCAGAGCTTTAAGGAACAGACTAAGGCCATAACAAGGGCAATATGAACAAAGTAACCATGGTGCACAGAAAGGGAGACATTAACACTGCGAGACAGCAATGTCCAAGAGTATGACATCTGGTTCTTTTTTGTTGGGGGGGAGGCGCTGTATGGTGCTGGCAACCAGTCCCCTGGGTTTATGCATGCTTGGCAAGTACTCTACCACTGAGCTACATCCCTAACCTTTGGTTATTTGAGTCAGGGTCTCATTATATAGCTCAGGCTAGCCTTGAATTCATTATGTAACCCAGGCTGTCCTTAAATCCTCCATCCACCTAATTCTAACTGCTGAGTGCTAGAATTACAGATATGAGCCACCATGCCTGGCTAGAGTGTGACATCTAGACAGTTCTTGTTTTTTGTTTGTTTGTTTTTGCAGTACTGGGGTTTGAATTCAGGGTCTCCTGCTTGCCAACCAAGCACTCTAATACTTGTGCCACACCCCAGCACCGTTCTTGCTTACTGTGGTAAAAAACAGAAGACTTTAAAGACTTTTTTAAGAATGTTGGTGGGAACCACTTTTTCCAAGGCTATTCAGGTTTAAGGGAAAAAGAAAAAAAAGGAGGTCAAATAACAAGTATTTGTATTTATTTCAACACCTGATTTGTACTAGAAAGTGACTCAGAAAAAGATAGCTGAATTTACTGAAAAAAACTTTTCCAAATACTCTAAGTATAAAGACAATGAAGCCAACAAAAAAACTGGTAGATATGAATACATAAAATATCCTAGTGCCCAGCCCAATGTTTGGAACAATGCTTGACATACAGAAGGCACCACAGAAAATATTTGTAGAATGAAATAATCATCTTCTATAAAATAAAAACAGCCTTAAGGCTAATAACATGAAAAAATGCTTGCAATGCATCATCTTTACTTCTATATAGAACTCCCATTGATATACAGTAATAATTATTAAAATAGGTTAAAAATAGATAAAATGGCCAATAAACATGAAAATGGGGAAATTTTCTAGTCAAAGAAATAGAAATTAAAATATTTAGACAGTATTTTAAAGCTAGATCAGGGGCTAGGGGTGTGGCTCAAGGTGGTAGAGCACCTGCCTACCAAGGTCCTCAGTTCAAACCCCAGTACCACAAAATTGAAAAAAAACATAACTAGATCAGAAAAAAATTAAATAATTATCATAGCATTGTTGACAAGGATAAAGTAAGAACTCTCAAATTTTACTTATCAGCTTGTAAATTAGGACAACTTTTTTAAAAACAAATTAAGTAATGGCAACAAAAGCTTTAAAAATGTTCATACTTAGCTGGGTACAGTGACCCATGACACTAATCTCAGCTACGGAGGTAGAGGTCAGGAGGATCAGTATGAAAGCAGCCTGGGCAAAAAGTTAGTGAGACCACATCTCAAACAATAAGCTGGGTGTGGTAGCGTATGCCTATATGATCTCAGCTATGAGGGTGGCTGTAGATAGGATCATGATCTCAGGCCAGCCCCAGGCAAAAACATGAGACCTTAGCTAAAAAAATAACTAAAGCAAATAAGGGCAGATGGACATGGCTCAAGTAGTAGAGTTCTTGCCCAGCAAGTTAAGGCCCTCAGTTTAAACCCCAACACCAAAAAAGAAATGTGTCCATTCTGTTTGACTTAATCAATTCTAACAGAAATATGCCCTAAGAAAATAACCAGTGTTAGAATGAAGGAAATATATTTTAAAATACTGCCATTGTATCTTGTAATATATAAACACCATAAATACCCAATACTAGGAAAATGGCTAAATACAGAACATTTGCAAAGGCTAATATTTTTGAAAATGTGTAACATAGGAACATGCTCATAATGTTAAACAGAGGAAAGGGTACCAATTATTTGTATCATGTTACTGATGAGACATATATACATATAAACACATAGAAAAGAATAGAAGGAACCAGACCAAACATTGCTAATAACAGTAACAGTTAACATTAATTTAAGGCTTATGTTGTGACAGTCATTGAATTAAAAACTGTTTACGTATCATCTTATTTCACCCTTCACAACTCTACGAAGTACCATTGTTATATCTTACTATTTGGAATCTAAAGATTACAGGGATAATTTGTCCAAGGTTGCACAACTGAGTAAGCTCCAGGACTTGCCTTCAAACCACTGTCTCTAGATGGTAGGATGATGGGGCAATTTGTGCTTTCTTCTTTATGCTTTTCCTTTGTTTCTAAATGTTCTACAATAAACATTATTTTTATAATAAAAGAGGAAATAAACTGGGTGTAGTGACATAACCATAATCTCAGCATTTGGGAGGCAGAGGCAGGAGGACAAGTTCTAGGCCACCCTAGGCTAAATGATGAGATGCTAAAAAAAAATAAAGCACACAAGAACTTTCCCTCAAATTTCTAGTGACGATTATTTTAAATCCCTTGGAATTTTGAGCATCCTCCAGTATGAGTGGCTTTAAAGATCTCAAGCACTACATCTATAGACCATGTTCCTCCTATCTCCACTCTGGAGAAGCAGAAGCAGTAACCAACATAAGCTTGGAGTCAGGGCTGGAGGCATAGTTTAAGTAGTAGAGCACAAGCACAAGGTCCCAACCTCAAATTCCCGGCACACAAACACACACACCCTTCCAATAAAAAGAAGCCTGGAGTCAGAGATGTGACTCCCAGGTCTGCCACCCTCACTGTGAAACCACAGGGGGTTAACCTACTTATTAGTCCTTTTGGAAAAAACAAAAAAAAATGGAGGCAAGGGTACCTACAGTACAGGGTTAGATAAGGCCTATGATAACATTGGCCAAGGACTTACCACAGTGCCTCCCACAAGGCACGTGTGTAGGAACCAGGGAGTTGTAACTGCAATGATCTCTCAATTGTGGGGCTCCAGATTCCACTTCTCAGAATTTCTGCTTCCTCTCACCAAGGGGGAGTGCAGAGATGCCATGATTAGGACTAATTTACAAAAGACCATCTCCACACGGTAAGCCTCTGACTCAGCTTATTATTAAAGTCACCAGACTAGCTACTACGCCTTCCCTTCTGAAGTTCTGTTGCATCCTGACCACTACGTGGGTTGCACACTCACGCTCTAATCCGATCCTCGTGGTAAAAGATGTCCTGGATGGGAGTTTTGGCTTTGCCATATCGCAAGCGGGGTCTTCGGAAGACCGGCTCTCTCAGCGGTGGAAAGGCCTTATATATGTCATACCACACGGGCTTCTTTTTCAACACCCCAGCCCGAAGCAGGTCCCGTGTTCTAAGAGAGGGAACAGAACCAAGGTCAGTCGGTTACAACAGCCTGCCAAAGCCCCTGAATCGGTCTAGCATAGCCTGGATCATCAAAGGCACTAACCACACAGTCCGGACACTGCCACATCCCACACCAACCTAACAAGGTCAAGTCCCTCCATGTCCTCTTTATGGGCGTCCCAACCCCGATCCGTCACGGAAAATGCAAGCCTCTTTCTCTTCTAGAGACCTCCACGGGTGGAAGGGGGCTCCATCTTTAAAGTGACAGACAAACTCAGGGAGACATCAAACACCACAACTCGGAACCAGAAGAAAGCAGGCGTGCCTCGCTCGGCTCAGACACCCGCACCCTCGCTCCCCACCCAACGGGGAGCGTGGCCGGTTAAAAGTCCCGCCAGGAGTTTTCATCCTCAACCCACTCCCAGTTCCGAGCACACACCGCGTGAAGACGCTCCCCACCCTCTCCAGCCGGCTCCCCGCCATGCCCGGCGCCTCCTTCGGTACACTACCGGCCTCTACCGGAACCGGAAGCGGCGGCCGCGGCAAGTACAGGACGAGTAAGTTGCTGGCCGAGCGAAGGATCGCGTGCTTACGTCACAGCCCCACCCGGATAGCGGAGCCAGGCAGAAGCAAATGATAGGCCGAGCTGGCGCGCTCAGGTAGTACTCGCTAGATCCAGGCAGGAGCACTCGATAGCCGAGCCAAAACGGAGGGAGCGAGCCAAAGCCGAGCAGAAGTAATAAATGAACGATGTAGGGGGAGGGATTAAGTATGTTTTTTTGGCATTACTCTTTCTGGATTTATGAAGCCAGTTCCTCTGCACAAGATTGGGCAGTGCACAGGAAGTATGATGGGGGAGAGCTACGGTCCAAGGGGGAAGACAGCCTGTGGAGTAGTAAAGGCAGAGACTTGAGGTCACCAGCTACAGGATCCTTCTGAGCTTAATCAGCCAGTCAGACCACATAGAAGGAAACCGAGGTCCAGGAAGGGGCAATTGCTAGGTCACTTGGGACCCCAGGCCTGATTCTTCCACCTCAGTCTGTGTAGCACTTGTCTCCTTAGCCCTTTACATTCCATCACCCCATAGGGATGCTGCCAGCAACTGGTGTTTCCTCCGCTGGTGGCATCACTGGCCTGCTCCAACTTGGAGCTTGAAAAGTGAAAGTGTCCGGAACAAGCAGATTCCGAGAAAGAAACTCAAAACTCTGGGGAAAGTAACCTCTCAGTGATACTTAAAAATAAGGTGACTTGGGACCGGGGGTGGGGCGGGGGGAGAGGTGAGGAGGGGTCCGGAGGGGGGTTGCTCAGTAATCATACTACAGGAGAAGTATCCCATAGAAATTAAAGCATAATTTCATCAGGATGTTTGTGCAAGGATCGTCATTACAGCATTGTTTGTAGTGACAAAGAAAAAACTCCATCAAATGGAAAGTGGCTGGAAAATTATGGTTCCTATGTAGTTATTAAAATGAATATGCTAACTGCATGTGTATTTACTACATTAATGCCCGTGGTTTGTGGTTACATGAAAAAGGAAGTTGTAGAATCCCAACCTGTTAGAGGAAAAAAGAAAATATCTGTCTGTGTGCCTGTGTTAGTGTGAGGATAGAAATATCCAGAAGAACAGGCTATGATTGACCGTCTCCAGGGGAAATTACTAGTCAGGAATGGAGAATTTTTTTTCTTTCTTTATGTGAGGCTCAGAGTTTGCTTTGTGAAGAGTTCTTATGTGAACTTTTTAATACCAGGAGTGTTTTGAATCACTCCGAGTTTGCTCTCCAGAGCCCATTGTCTTTCTTTGTCACCTGGAAAGAGCCTGAAGCCATCCCAAGGTCCTCCCACTCTAAGGGAGGCTCCTTGAGGGAAAGGCCCGGACTGTTTGATGAGCAGTTAGTACTTGTTTTTGTTATCTCATGGAATCCACACTGCCTACCCACTAGGTAGCTATTGTCATACTCATTATAGATGAGAAAGCAAGGCCTCAGGAGGTTAAGTTCCTTGTCTGACAGGCAACTAATAGAGCTGGGATCCAGCCCAGCCCATGCCCTTTCCAGAATCCCACAATGCTATCCAAAGTAGTCTTATGCTGGAGACTGGAAGGCTTAGGTAGTCAAGCAATACTGGCCCTAGTTGGAGGGATGTGGGGGCAGTGATCTGAAGCCAGGGCTGAACTGAGAGGTGGGCTTCACTGCTGCTTTGGGGTCCTCTGGAACAGAGAGGGGACAGCTCTGGCCCCTGGGCTCCAGTCTCCTCTTTCCAGGGAGGTCTAGAAATCTGCTCTGGGGAAAGCAAACATGCTCCTCGCTAAATATAGCCTTCCCATGCCTCAACAATTTGCTAATTCTGTCTAAGCCCGAGATATCTGCCCGCTCAGATTACAGACACACTACCCTTCTCCCACTAGGGCATGCCCCCTAAACTAGCACAGTCCCTGCTGCTAAAGAATTAGGAGATTTGTACCATTTTAGGAATGGGAGCCAAAAACCCAGTATCTCAACTGGGGAGACATTCCAAGGCAGGGATTTTCTCTAAGTCATTTTGGGATTCTCTCTCTCTCTTTGGCAGTACTAAGGTTTGAACTCAGGGCTTCCTGCTTGCTAGGAGGTTCTCTACTGCTTAAGCCACTGCACCAGCCCTTTTTGTGTTGGATATTTTCGAGATAGGGTCTCATGAACCATTTGCCTGGGCTGACTTCGAACCTCGATCCTCCTGATCTCTGCCTCCTGTGTAGCTAGGATTACAGGCATGAGCCACTGGCACCTGGCCCCTTTCTCTTTTGAGTCTTTTAAATTTCCCTGTCCAGCATCATATGTAATGCTTATGTAGGGAGAGCAGAATGTTGGTGGGCAGTGTGGGAAGAACTTGGAGCTGTGGGAGCATGGATTAATCAGAAGCCCTCTGAGCACCCCCACCAGGAAGTTCACACCCAAGAAATGTTTATTCTTAATATACAGGAGGAAGTTGTTGGGCAGCTGGGAAGAGAAAGAATGACCATTCTGTCTTCTTTGGTAGGGACTTCAACCTCTTGAGGCTGAAAGGAGCTGGGCACGTAATGCTGTGAGCAATAGTCACAACTTACAGCAGCACAGTTGCTATCCACCCATGGCCACCTGGGAATGCAGCATGTTAATGATGTTTCATAGACTGAGTTACTGTTTTATTTTCTTGAAAACTTATCCATTCTTTCCACAAGGATTTCAGTACCTGCCTGACTCTGCTGAGTCCTGGAGACATCAACTGTCCAAGTCAGGGAGATGGACAGGCAAATATGTAACTGATAATTGATGTGCTAAAGAGCTTGTTGAATACATTAGGTTTGTTGGGTCTGTTGCCATAACAACGCATCACACACCAGGTGGCTAAAACAACAGAAATTTATTTTCTCACAATCCTGGAGGCCAGAAGTCCAAAATCAAGTTGTTTATTGTAAGGCTGGTTATTTTTCAGGCCTTGCTCCTTGCCTTGTAGATAACTGTCTTCTCCCTGGGACTTCACATGGTCTTTCCATTGTGAGTGAAGGTATGTGCCCTAGTCTTTTATGAGGACACTGGTCATATTGGACTAGGGACCATCCTTCTGACCTCATTTCAATGTACTTACCTCTTTAAAGACCCCCATCTCCAAATACAGTCACAGTCTGAGGTACTAGGGGTTAAGACTTCAATATATGAAATTTGGAGGACACAGTTCAGTCCAGAACATTAAATAGCACCCATTTGCCCACAGATCCATGTCCACCGTCTTCCATTCTTCAGCTTTCTTTATGCCAGGGAGCCTGACTTCTGCAAGTGCATCCTCCAACCCATTAATTTCTGCTTCCAGCTGGATTCACTTGGTAGTGCAGTGGGAAGCACTGGCAGGGGAATAGAAGGAAGGAGGAAAGTGGAGTCAGTCTTCATCTCAACTCCCTCCCTGCACACTCCAAGAACATGAGGTCACAGCCCATGATGGGCAGCTCTTTATACAACACTGTCTCTCATACTAGATTCAGCTCACAAACTGTGCCCCTCTGTCACTAGCCTTAGGGTCTAAGCCACCTATCCCATGTAGCTTCCCTAAATTCTGCCCACATCTTTGTAAATTGTGTCCTTATTTAAATAGTGCATGGGAGTTTGTCAGGCAAAAGAGAAGAGCATCTCAGTAGTGGAACAGCTTTGGTAAGTGAAAATGCAAGCATATTGATGAAATCATGGGGACTGCTAATCATATATGGCAAAGAGCTAGGGACCAAACTAGGAACAATTAGCTAGTTGCTTTAAAAGGGAGGAAAGCAATAGCATATATTCAATACACAGTATAAGAATTATAGGGTTGGGCCTACTGAATCCCAGGACAAGAGGTTGATGGCAAGGAAGGAGGGGCTAAAGGAAGAAGCAGAGTGCCTTTTCTTTTCTCCAGGCAGTTGGGCCCTGGCTCCCTCTTCTGGCTGAGCACTGTCCTTAGGACACCCACACCTGCAGCTTTCTGCACATTCGGTCAGACTGGGTGAGTACCTCGACCTACTCTCCCCCTCCTGAAACTTCTCTCTCACACACAGCTCTGTTCTGTTTACTTGTCTGTGTCTGCCTAACTGGGCCTCTTTTATGGAAGGAACTGGGCCTCTTTTCTCTGCCTGCCCACATCCAGGGTGGTGCTTGGCCCACAGCTTGTTCTTAGAGTTTTCCAGTGAACAGCATGGATGAAGAGAAAGCCAAGATAGGACAAATGAGGTTGCAGGGACCGCAACAGTCTCTTGGCTGTCTGCCCACATCTGGCCCTCCTTCTTGGACCTAGCTTTCTCTTGAGGCCTTCCCCTTCCATGTCACCGGTAGGGACAGTGATGTGGTTGGGTGGAAATACTCCCCCACCCCACCATGTACTGGGCATCCTGGTCATTTCTGCCTCGGGCTGTCCTTTGTGTCTCACTGATGGACAGATATTTGTTATAATCTTCTGGGCCTTAACTTTGTCATCTATAAAATGGGATAATCAGGGCATCTAGCAGAAAGTCTTGTTGCTGGGTGTGATGGTGCATGCCTATAATTCCAGCACTTGGAATACAGAGGCAGAAGGCTCTTGAGTGAGTTCAAGGCCATATTGGGCTACACAGGGAGAGCCTGTCAAAAAAGAAAAAAAGGAAGTGATAGGGTGCTTGTATGGCAATCTTGAGGCCCTGAGTTCAAACCTCAGTGCTGCCAAAAGATAAATTAATAAATACAAAGGGAAGGCTTGTGAGAAGTCAGTGTTTAACACCTACATAGTACTTAAAATTGTCCCTGTGTATAGTAACTGTTCAGTAAATACCGTGATAACAATTTCTGACCACTACACACTTAAGGGCAACAAGTCCTAGTTAAATCTTGTCTAACAATTTGCGAGACACTTTCACGTGCTGACCACTCTTTTTCACTAAACAGTGGATTGCCCCTAAGCAGACTCCAGTTCAGGCAGAGGAGACATCAACACTTTGTGCCCTGGGAGGTCTGTATACATTTTGACTCCTTTCTATAGCCAAGGAACAGGAGCCAGATGGGCCTCGAGCAACAATATGGCCTTTTACTGTTGGAATTGAAGGCCAGTTAGATTCACTCTGTGGGGTCTTGTGACCCAACAAAAATAAGACCCCTCCTAGACAGATATTTCAGGGCTGTATGGGCCCTTCTGTTCCTGAGGATGTCAGAGCAACTCCAAGATATAAACTGGATCCTCCTGGAGAGCTTGAGAAACAGATTCTGACTCAGTAAGTGGTATGAAGCCTGAAAATGTGTTTCCAATAAGCTTCTGGGTTGATGACAGTCAGTCTGCAAGTCTGTAGATAGAGTAATCAACTCACTCAAGTTTGCATTGAGAGTTTGAATGGACTTTCTTGGTTTTACCTTTGACATTTCTGCATCTGTGCCACATTTTGAATAGCGAGGTCATAATAAGGCAGGTTTGTGCTGACTTTATTCTGAGCTTCACAGCTTCCCACTCCAGAGTCCCTGGAAAATCCTCTCGACATGAAAAGAACAGTGACTCAGGACTGGAGGTGTAGCTCAGTAGAGCACTTGCCTAGCATGCATGAGGCCCTGAACTGGGGATGGCCCCAGTTCTGCCAAAAAAAAATGATAAATAGACAAAACTTAGAAAAAATGAACAGTGACTCTACTCTCTAGAAATGACATCTGACTTCAGGCCTCATCTCTCTAGGCTTGGTAACATTTTTGGGGGGACCTGAAGCTTATATAGTCTTAGTCTTATATAGTCTTTAAGTTAAATAATCTTTGTTTTGAAAAACTTACAAAACATGACCACATGAACAAATTCCCTTCTGTCTGTCTGGCTTGTGGCCAAACAGGTGCTCACATCTTCCTTCTGGGAAAACGATGTTCTGTTTCTCTGTGGACAGTGACTACCAATTTTGCAAGATGACCACCAGGTGGTAGTAGATTCACACAGCCCCTTTCAATACCCCTCATCTCCAGAAATTTCCAGCTGGCCCAGCCCACTAACCCAACAAATTAATCTATGCTGTGATAATAGTCAAAAAAAGCTCATGTGCTTCTCTCTCAATAACATATTTGCCATTTAATGGGTAGGCTAAGAGATTGTTTTTAAAACCAGATAAAGAATGCTAATGGGGGAGTTTCAGGCACACTGCTGAATCACAGATCACTGTAGAGATAGTTTAGAGTAGGTGGACCCTTTCTGTTCTCTACAAATTGCATCCAGGCAAAGGTCCTGGGTCTTATCACCTGTTCCTCAACTAGCCACAACAGATAGCTTAGCATTTAGGCATCAGCTCTGGAATTCAAATCCAGGTACTTACTGCAGATGGATGTTGAATAAGGAGCTCAGCATCTCCATGCCTCCGTTTCCTGATATATGTGTGTGTGTATGTAAAATGGGAATAATACTGATTTCATATTGTTGTTGTGATTGGGTACAATAATGTATGTAAATCACAGCAGAAGAGAATTTGTATACAACGAAATCTCCATAAAAAGCTAGCATCCTCATCGTCCCATACTTTGCCTGCCTCCTCTGCTCTTTGGACCAAGTTCTCCTGTTATTTTCCAACCCCTACTTTCTACCCCCAAGCAGCTGCTTCAAAAGAACAGAGTTCAGACTCCAACCTGGCAATAATCAGGCCAGTTCTTTTTGTTTGTTTGTTTTGGCAATACTGGGGTTTGAACTCAGGGATCTGTGCTGGCTAGGCAGGTGCTCTACCACTTGAACCATACTTCCCATAGTTCTTCTGAGCAGTGTTTTCCAGACCCTATGATCTCCTCCCTTACAAGTAGAGGCCAAACCCCAAGGACACCAAAGTATATGAAAAGTCAGGGGCACTGGCAGGACCAGACTCCAGAGAATGTGGCCCCACATTTCTCAGGAGATTAATTTGTATCACCTTGTGGCTACCAGGAGCCACAAATGTTGATTTGCAAATAAGCATGATGTGTAAGGGTAGATGGCTAGGGCAGTGGTCGGGACCATCCACTCCTGGGTCCTGTCCACACTCTTAACCTGGTAATCTCCTCTTCTCTCTCCTCCCTCTCCCTTTCCCTCTCCTCTGTTCTGTTTAAAATCACCTCAGTCTCACCTACACAAATAGACTAAGTGGTGTCTGGTTCTCAAGTTTTGCTACATATTAGAACAACTGAGATTTTATAATCTAACTCCCAGGCTAAATACCAAGTCAATCAGACTGGGGTATCTGGGAATGGGATCCACTCATGAGAAATGATTCTAATGTACAGCAAGTCTGAGACGTGTTCTAGAGTTTCCCAAGCTGTGGTGTTATACAAGTTGTCTAGAGAGTTGTTGAAATACATATTCTGGGTTAGTAGCACTAGGGCAAAATCTGAGATTCTGTGTTTCTAACAAGCTCTTAGATCACACTGCTACTGTTGGATGCTAGACCAAATTTGAGTAGCCAGGTTGTGACTCTCAAATTTGTGCCATCTGCAAATGCTGTGGCTACATGGAGCACACTTTGAACAGGTGGGGAATAGAGGATGCAACAGGCCTGGGAGTCAGGCAGCCTGGGCCCCGTTTTTTGGCTTAATACAGTTCTATCTTTGTGATCTTGAGTAAGTTACTTAACCTCTCTGAATTGTCATTTCTGTAGCTGTCAGTGAATAACTGAAAAATGTGCAGAGCCAGGGTTGAAGGAGAATCTTGTTTTGCCTAGCACAGCAGACGTGGAGTATCACCAGCTGTCTCCGGTATGCCAATACACAAGCCCACCTGCCTACCCTGACGGATGGAGGACTCTCTTTGTAGGGAGAGCAAGAGGAACAGTTGTTTGTCCCAGAGCAGGAGAACGTGGCATCAGGGGAAAAGAGGGCAGCCTTGGCCCGGATGACCCAGAGCCCAAGAACAAGATGTGTCCTTGGAAGCCACAAGGAATAAATTTTAACCTTGAGAATTTCCCTGTCTGGAGATGGCATCCACTTCCTCTTTTGGCAGCCAGCTTCCTGTCCCGGGGAGGGGCGGGGAGGGCAGTCCAGCGGAGCTGGGGAGTAGGGGAAGCTAAAGATACCTTAACTGGAAGATCGCTGCTTTCCCTTTGAAGTCAGATAGCACATCCCTTTAGTCTCCACGCTGTTAATCCAGAAGCTTTCCGTTTATTTAGGGAGGTGTCGATCTGGAGCTTTAGCAACAGGCTGGCTTTCCCCATGTTGTTTCCTTCGCCTATCAGTAAGCAGGTAACTTTCCCCGGCACATAGGAAAGCATAGCATTGGGCAAAGCCAGCAGGTCAGCGAGGTCGCGGGAGCAGGTGTAACTTCGTGAGTGCAGCGAGGAATGTGCCAGAGCCCCTTGGGCCCTAGATATACCCTGCGGGTTAATGGGGGCGGACGAGGCAGGTGTCCCAAGGTATCTCCAGAAGCCAAACCCTGTCCCCGACCGAGAGGGAGAAGAAAAAGGGAGTCTCCAGCCTACGCCACCGGCCACATCTGAGCACCAAGAGAACACCAAGTCTTTATTACAGGAATTCCTATGAAACAGCTCCAAGAAAAAACCCACACATCGGAAGGGGAAAAAAAAAAAATTAACAAAGCAACACACAGACATGGGACTGGGGTTTTCCCGCGTGCGCCTGGCCCTGGCGCGGGGAGGGACCAGGGTCTTAGCCCAGGCCCTCTCCTTTGCCCCTCGGGGTCAGACCAGTCTGGAGCCCCGGCTAGCGGCCCAGGGGAGTCCCCCTCTCTGCAGGGTCCACCCGCCTGGCCTGAGATCAGTGGAGGGCGGCCGGCCTCTCTCAGCCGGCGGCAGGGCGCCAGAGCCCCAGCACAGCGCACGCTTCCAAACTTGGTCACGCTCCGCCGCGCGCGCCGCTCTCCCAAGCCAGGGGCAGCTCGGCCGCCCAGAGTCCGGATGGGGCCGCGGGGGGGGGTGCGTGGAATGGGAGAAGTAGACGCGATTGCGGTCTCGCTTCCGTCATGCAACCATTATGTCCCCGACCGTGGCTGCCACCAGCCCCCCCCCCCGCCCCCAACCCGCGCCGAGAAGCTGGACTGGACCAGGCTAGGCTGGTCCCACTCTCCGGGAGCTCCCGTGCCTGCCCAGGATTCCGGGCTTCCCGGAAAGGTCAGCGCGTTCCCATGTCAGGCTCCCGCGGAAGAGACGCGCATGGCCTTCCTCCCATTGGCAGTGGTTGGTGCGGGTTAAGAGTTCGTAGAATCAGAGTTTTACTCCTTAGATCACCTGACTCTCCGCAAGGGGCATCCACCAAGCCCTTATCCCTGGCGCTACCACCCGGGATGGCAGCCTCTTCACCTTTGTCTTCGACACTGCACTTCTCAATGGGGTCACTCCTGAGTCTCCCGCTGTCCTCCACCCTTAGAAGCCAGCAGGACTAGTCCAGCTAGACAGTCAGTGCTCCCAAGAGTCCCCATGTGGTGCGAACTCACAACTGGCTTTTGTCTTCTGCCATTCTAAAGACCCTATCTAAACAGAGTCCTCCAGCTCCAGGGAGCTGCCCTCCCCATCCCTGCTGGGTGAATGGAGGCTGCTGGGGACTCTCCCAGCTCCTAACAAGCAGCCTAATGAACCCGACAGGGCACGCAGCACATTCCTGCTTGTGGTGCCCAAGATTCTCCCTTCTGGAACTCTGCGACAGGTTGAGAAAAGGGTCAGCAGCGAGGGTGAGGAGTGGGTGCACGGATGGACATCGAGTTGCAGGACACCTTGGGAAGAAAGGGCATGGGGTGTCCAGGGGATGCTGGAGATGGGGTGAATTCAGGCAGTCTATGGCCCACTGGGAGAGGGGGGATGGGAGGCAGGCGTTCCTCTTTCAGGCCAAAGAGCTTCTGGTAGGATCATCCTGTCCTTTTCCCAAACGCCAACCTTTGCCTCTTTCTGGGACTTTTTTTTTTTTTTTTTAAGAAGGGAGAGGGGTGGTTCCTGCATTTCTGCTCATTGCTCATTGCCCCTAGAAAAGCCTGGCTACAAAAGGGGATGTGACTGGCTGCTGCCTCTAGGGGCCCCAGGTTCCTCCTCCAATCACCAGATGGCAACTCTGAAGTCCTAAGTCCTGGAAAGTGGCAGTGGTTGGGCTGGACTGTGGCCGGAGAACCTGGGCCCAGATATGCAAGCACCATCTGCCCGGCGCAGCTGGGCCCTTCAGCTGGTGCCGGTGTTGCTGTCCGGTTGCTCCCACCGGGTCAGAGCATCTCTGGCGAGGTGGAGCTGCTGGCATCTGTCAGTAAAAAGACAGGGGTAAAGTCTTTCAAAGGAGCCCCCTGGCCTTTTCTGCTCACTGGTTCTTGGAGAGATTTTGGGGTAGAAGCTACCAAAGAAAGAACTCCACCCTCCCTCCCTCCGGCCTTTCTCCAGGGGCTCTAGATCACTGTGGGAACTCCTGCTTGGGATCATCACCCCATCCAAGCTCCTAAAAACCTGCAGCAGGAGATGGGTGGGAGAATGGGATGGGGAGGAAGCACAGGAAGGGCTCACAAGTGGGAAACTGCCTGGTACACTCTGTAGTATGGCTGATAGTTCAGATAAGGTAGACCAAGGGGAACTAGAAGGACAGAAAAGTAAATTGGGGCCAGAATTTGGTGGGCCCCAAGCTGAAGGATTCATAAGGCTTGCACTCGAAGAGCAAGGGAGAGGTGGGACTAACATGGTGTTTTGGTGAGGAGATGAAGAGAGGTGGAGCAGCAGAGATTAGGGCTACTAACTAAGGTGTCAGGTTGGTCGGTGTTGAAGGAATAGGGAAGAGAAACAATGAGGAAGTCAGGAGGCGAGAGTGGCTGGCTTTCAGTGAACCCACATCCAGGTCTGGAAAGACAATCATGGGTGCAGCTGGGGATCTGGAGCCCATCTGGAGGAGTAACTGCTGGGGACTCACATTGGAGCCAACTGCTCAGAAGTATTGCTGATGCTGTGAAGGAAGATGCTGGTGCTGCCAAAGAGAGAGGAGGGAGAAGACAGAGAAGGTCAAGGGCAGAGCAATGAGTGGGTACTTAGGGAATGGAAGGAACAACAGGAGCCTGGGAGGGAGGAAGCAGAACCAGGGCTCCTGGTGTCACAGGAGCCAGGGGAGGGGTTTGAGGAAGGATATGGGACATCTCATGTGGAAGGGAACACCAGAAGTCAGGACAGGATGGGGGCCTGGAGCTGGCGGATGATCTCCTTCAGACAGTCCCTCCTGGAAGCTGCCAGCTTGCAGCGGTTGGAGGAGGATATCAGTCTCGTTAGTTGGGTGGTAAAGGAACCATTAAAGACTCCTGGGTTTTACCACAGGGAGAAGGAGGAGGTAAACTTGAGGATCTGGGAAGGAAAAAGCTAGAGGACTCAGGAGAGAAAGAAATGAGCAAGGCTCTGAGATGGGTGGCTTGTGGTAGGATCAATCTTCCAGGGTACCAGTGGGAAAGAGGAGGGGGCTGGAGATGGCAGGGACAACGAGTGGAAGTGAAGGTGTTTCCTAGCTTTATTTGGATAGCCCAGACAAATGGGAGGGAGGTGCAACTTTGTGAGTGAGGAAAGCCTGGGGAGAATGGGAGGGGGATGGAAGCACCTGGGGAGGGATAGGGTAGAGGAACAGCTAGAGGGGAGGAAAGGGGTGGTTGTATTTATTGGCTGTACCCTCTACAACCTTCCTTTTCTGTCCTCCACTACAACTATCCTGAGGGAAGCAAGGATTTCTCCTGAAATCTGAAACAGGGCCACAGCTCAATAAAGCCTGGTAGATGCTGCACCTGGGGGCAGGGTAGGTAGCTTCCTGATGGCAGAAGAAGAGCTGGAAGAGGAACAGGTGTGTTTGGGTCCTGCAGAAGCTGTCAGCATTCCTTATCTGTCCTTCCCTCCATCCCCGAAAAAGTGCACAAGAAGACAGGAAGAAAGGTAGCCTAGTGCTGGGCACCAGCCAGAAGCAATCTTTCCCTTGTCTGCTGTGGCAGATCCCACCCAGACCACTCATCCTAAGCAGAGAACTGGACACAGGTTTGTGTGTGCATAGCCACTTCTGTTTTGTTTAAATTATCCTTAAGTGTGCTATATGTGTCCTGGACTATAGTATTCTCAACAGGGCTATAAACTTCTCAAGGTCAAAAGTTGATTTTGTTTTCCTTTTCCCAGAATCTGTCAAAGGCAGGTGTGATTATCTTTTCTCAAATGAATAAATAGCCAAATATAATAAATGCAAAAGACTGGTTTGCATGCAGAAGCCCACGTCCCTTGCCACAACCATAAGGGAAGAGACTCAGGATCTTCTCTATTCTGATGCCTGAGCCCAGCATTCTGCACCCTTGGGGAAGACACATAGGGTATGGCAGACCCTGCCCTGCTCTGGGCAGCCCTTGGGCAGCTGTGACTCTAAGCCTTACCTCTTACTGTCCTTCCCTTAGGGTTTCCTCCACCTTGGGCACCTCCTGCCGCCTTCCCCGGGAGTCTTCATCTGAAAGGCAGAGGGAAGCTGCTTCATCTTCCACCCTGCAGGGCTTTACTTAGGCATGTCCCCAGACTGGACAAAAGAGCTGCCCAACTTACTCCGCCCCTTCATTTGATGGGGGTACATACTGATCCTCAGGTGGCAATGCACAGGTCTGGTGAGAGAGGCAATGGAACCTGAGTGCTGGCCTGGCTCCATCATTGAGCTCTGAGGCCTTGGACAAGCTCTTCTGTCTTGTTTGGGCCTCAATTTCCTTATCTATAAAGTGGGATGGGGATGTAGGGCTATGCAGGTGCCTTCCAAGACCCTCTAGTCCTTGTTTTTGGATTTCCTCTGATCCTAGAAGGACCCAGCTGTGTGTCCTCTAGTAAGGTGTAAGGCTGAGTCTTCTGGCCTCAGTGGCCTTTAGAAGGAACTGGGTGAAAGTTGAAAGCCCCTGGGCCCTCAGACTGAAGCTTCTCAGCATGTGGGAGGCCTGGGAACACTGCCCAGGAATGGTGCCTAGCCCTCTGTGCTACAGGTAGAGATCTGAGTGGAGGTGGGGCTCAGCCCCCTTTTGGGTACTGCAAGAAAGGGCAGGAACTGGGCACCAAGTGAGGAAAGTCCAAATTTCTTTGGGTTGCCTATCCCATCAACCATTGGTATGGCCCCCTAGTTGGGTGCCCTCTCCCTGACACAAAACACCTAGGACTTCCCCTTGGAGGGTCACCCACAGGCAAGCTGGAACTCAGGGTCCCCTCCCTGCCTCACCACAAGCATGGCCCTCTACGTCGTCCAGGAGGTTGGCTGTTGATGCTGCAGCCCCTAGCCTACACAGCCATTCAGGAAAACTGTGCCAGAGATGAACAGGCACTGTCACAGCCTGTCCCACTTCTGTCTCCCAAGCTCAGCCAGGCTCCTTTCTTGGGGACAGTTAAGCAGCCAGGCCCTAACCCCTTCATTTTTCCCTATCTCTGGGGACAGGAGAGTGACTTTCTCCCTTTGGCTGTTCAGCTTTTTAACAGCCTTGTCCCTGTTGGACAAGCACAGATGGGGTTTGGGCACAAGTGTGGAAAACTGTCTTTGTACAAGGAACTGAAAGGGGAAGGCAGACCTCGACATAAGGCTGCAGAAGACCCATGGACCAGTTCAACTAGGGCCATTAGGGGAAATTTTGCTAATTTCAATGGAAGGACAAATTTTTCTCCCAAGATGCAGATTATCCCAGACCAAAAAAAAAAAAAAGAAAACCGTTGTAAGGACAATTTTACTTCCCACTCCCCATGCCTGGTCTCTGGTGTTCCTAGAGAGGATGGGCTGGCAGGCTAGTCTCACAGAACAGAGTGGAGGGAGCAGAACTGGGTTCCACTCGAACATTAGTAAATCCAGTTGGGGTCTTGATCCCGGCCCTTGGCATCCACCACCCCACCCAGTGCCAGGCGGAAGGATACGACTGATGCTTCGGCAAGTGCTTCCTCTTTGACTTCCTCATTTTGGTCTTCTCTGAGAAGGCCCGGGCCAGTTCAAATAGCTTCCTCCGGGTGGCTGGGGCAGAGAGACCTGTGAGCTCTTCATTCTCTTGACAGCCAGAGCACCAGATGGCTTCCCCCCCTCCCCCACCCAGGTCTGGCGTGGGAGCCAGGGAGAGGGAGGTGACAAGACCGGCACACCTCGGGAGGTAGGCTGCCATCCCACATCGGCCTGAAGGGGCAGCACAGGCCACAACTGCCAGGCCCAGGCCAGCAGCCCAAGATCCGGGTATTCCTTCCCCAGCTACGACAGACAGCCACACATCTTGGCTTGCTTTCCCGTCTGCCCGTCACCATATTCCCGCCCCTCCCCTGGCCACCTCCAGAGTTGGTCCTGGGATTTCCATGACTAATCCGAGATTTTCCCTGAAATGGAGCCTGAAAGGACTGCAGCCTCATTCACACTGGTTGTGGGTCTGTGTGGCGGGCAGCGGGAAGGCAACGGGAAAGGGACAGTCCAGGCTGGCAGGACTTTGTAGGAAGAGGTCCCCAACCCTGAAGGCCTCCCTCCTTTACAGAAAGTGAGGGCTTAGCAAGAATCTCCCAACATGGAACCAGCCAAGCCCTCAAGCCACAGAGAATGTGAACACTGACACTGGAGCAAGGGGATGCCCAAACATTATTTTTCTGCAGACAGCTGGCTTAAGAGGCTTTAAACTTAATTTGTATCCAGACTCCGCTGTAGAGGGAAGTGAGGCAGGAAGGTTGAGGGAGCCAGCCTGTGATTAAAATGTCACATTGGTTTACCAAGAGTCAGTGGCATTAAAACTTCTTGGCGGGTGGTGGAGGGGGTTGCTCCTTCCCTCCCATGAGGCCGCAGGGTCTATGATGCAGAAGAGCTGGGAAGGAGAGGGGACATGAGCTGGACTCACATTTTCCCATGTGTTTTAACTTGTCCCTGAATAAGGCATCTTCGGACACGGCAGGGTTGGGCTCGCTCGTTCCTGGAAAAAGGAGGCACCTGCTAAGGGACAGAACCGCTTGGATCTCTGAGGTCCCACTACAGAGGAAGAGCAAGCAGCTGCCACTCTTCGCATTTGAGCAAGAGTGAAGGCTTCTTCCCCAGCCAGAGGGAGTTTAAAACAAGAACGACACTGGGGTTCTAGGAACAGTTCTTTCCCATTGCAAGCCAAGTTTTTCTTTATAAAAATGGGGACGTCTTAAGGTCTGTGTGAAGAGCCTGCTGGCATGGAGTCCCAACTGTCTTCTTCTCTGACCAAGTCCATGTTCTGCAAAGTCATCTTGGCCATTTAAAGTGAGCTGTGGTGGGGGTATTTACACCATGGAAGTCACCAGGCACCACAAATTGTTCTTCTCTCTCACCCAGAGCAGGTTGCTAACCATTTGCCAACACATCCCTCCCTGTATCCTGACATGGGTGAGTCAAAGCAGGAAAGGCACAGAGCAGGGAACACCAGAGAGATCCCCTTCTTCCTTCCAGGGTCAGCCCCTCCCACACTCCTTCTCAGACAATGAGCAGAAATAAGAATGGGCTAAGCCAAGAGTCAGAAAGCCAGCCAGCACCGCCTCCCAGCAACCTCTTCAGCACTGCTTGGGTCTCTCACTGCCCTTCTAAAGCTGCTGCTCTCCACCCTGCAACTTGGCTAATCCCGAGTCACCTTGCCTACTAAGTCCCCTTTGAGTCATTCTGATCCATCTCAGCAGCCCTGGTGTCTGATTAATTCGGGATCAAGGACAAGAGGCTCTGTGAAAACTCCCAGATGTGCATCTGGTGGGGCCTAAGCTCCCAACCCATTGCTTATGAATCAGTTCCGCAGGATTTTCTCTCTCCGAGCTGGGATCAGTGGGCTCTCCACCCTTCTGCTCCTGCATACCCAACTCTGCTGCAGATGGAGGGGCTGTTCCAGGCAAAGCTGCTGAGCCTCTCTGTGTTTGTGTGTGGGGGAGGGGGCAGTGGCTGACTAGAAGTGATATGCCCACACAGGCACAGGGCCTCTGCCCCACATTCCCAGCCCCACGTCAACCCTGTGGTCCATGCATCCCAATGGCACTCCGGCCCATGCCCTGACCCCGCCTCAGCCATTAGGGCTCCTGAGAGAAAGGGTCTGGTCCTCTTGAGGCAATTCTTGCTTCTCACCACTTCGTACTCAATGCTCCAAGTTTCTCTTCCTTCAATACACAGGGTAGAGCCTGGTATTCCCCAGTATTTAATACATGAGTGGAAGAATGCTTCCCAGATTCACCCTGTCCTCCCCCTCTCCATGCATTTGCTATAGTCAATGAGTGTGTTCTTGGCTTTGCTGATTTGCTCTACCCATTTCTTGCACATACCTCTTTACAATACCATAAGCTCCTCCAGGGCAGAGACCAAGCCAACAAGTCTCTGAGTCCTTCCCACCCCACATTTGTTACCAAGGGACATTATGTGGTGTAACGTGTGTTCTCTGGAAGCCTGAGTACCAGGCACAGGTTGGGAGTTCAGCCCAACCTGAACTCAGGGCTGCTCAGCGAAGGGCTATCTCACTCCACAAGACCCATCCCCTCCTCAAGCCCCCACCCTTAGTGTGTTTCTTCAGCCTATCCCAAACTCCAAATATGCAGGGTAAAGTTGGGAAGGCAAGGTTACCTGGGACAGAGGAGGAAAAGCCAAAGTCATTTCCGACAGCCACACTGCTGGATTTGGATTTCTGGGACTCATACTTCAATCGATCTGGAAAAGGAGCACATTTCTGTAAGGGGAATGGGCTCCTGGGCTGCTAGGGGCATGCTGCAGGTTGCTGAATGTTGAACCCTAGAATTCCACACAAATACACATATACACACAAAATATGCAAAGACACACTATCCATTAGCTCTTGAAGAACCAGTGGTAACAGAAATTACAGCCTGATAGCCATCTGGAATGTCAGAATGTCCAAGTTAAAGGTCCCTGAGAGACCATAAAGTCCAACTCCCTTACTTTAAAGGAGAAGACTAGCATCTTTGCTGTGCTGCACAGCGGGACTGGCCTGGATCCCTCGCCCTCTATTCTAGCATTCTCACTACACAGCTTGCTCATCCCTGACCAACACATACCAGTGTCTGTCTCTCTATCTGTCTCTCTCCCTTATAAACCAACCTCCCCAGCTCTCTCTCACCCCATACAGCACCCCATCCTGAAGGGGAAAGGCAGCCATGTGGGGAGTAGGGTACCCCATCCAAACACCACCCAAATACCTTGCCCCATTGTCCTCCATTCAGAGAGCCTCCCACTCTGGCACCTGTGGAGAGCCAGTCATTCTGTTCTGGGGTTTCGAGACACATGTCTGCCTTGTAGCTGGAGCTATGCTCTTATCCTTGTTGCCCCAGGGCCAAGGCCCATGCTGAGCACAGAGCAGATATGTAGGGGAAGAGAGAGGGCCTAAGTGGGCAAGCCCTCTCCCTCTGAGAGCAGAGGTGCCCCTGGTCCCCACCAGGAGAATTCCTAGGCTCCCCCAGGATAACCTGGTGAGGGCCATGCCTCAACAGGACAGATAGCACCTGGTACCTCAGCCTCCAGCAAAACCCTCTTCCGAGCCCTAAAAGCTAAAGCCCATGCCTTCCTCTTCTTCAGCCACAGGGCCTGCTGGGCGCCCACCTCTCTCCAGAGCAAGGAGAAAGTCACGGTTGCGCTGCAGTTCCTTCATGAACTCCTCATTCTGCAGAAAGAGTGCGATCCTCTCGTCCTCTAGGTATTGCTTCCAGCGGCTGTCCTGTTCGGGGGTCACGGGCCCCGGTGCAGGAGGTGGGCCTCCCTCTCCACTCAGAGGCTTGGAACTCCTGGGGTTACCCTGAGGAGGGGCAAGCATGCTGAAAGCCTTTCCCAGGATCTTCTAGCCCCACTTTGAACACCACACCTCCCGAAGGGACCCAGTCGTCAGCCAAAATCCACATTAACAGGTCAGAACCCTCTCTGCTGAGGAAGCAGCAAAGGTCTAAAAACTATTTTTCCTCCTAACCTTGGACCACCTCACTTCTTCATCTACGACCTCAATAGTCCTGAAAAGAGACTTGCAATGGGCTCAGTAGTGTGCATGTGAACTCCCAAACCCACACCTCTCCCTGCACCAGCTGCCTCAGGGTGAGACACACGCCCCAGAGGAGCACTTTGGGACATGGCAACATATGGGGAGAAGCTGCCCCTGGCCCTTTCCAAGGGAGAAGATGGAGGTACCCTTGCCCTCTGCCCTTGGCTGCCCCATGCCCTCTCCCTCCAGCCTGAGGTGATAATAGTGACTATAGAGCCTCCTCCAGTTGTCACCTTTCCTGGGTCAAACAGGAAACCTCCAGGTCCAGACAGGAAGTAAGGCTTTTGGTTCAGTGTTCTTTTCCTACAAACCCAGGGCACAGAAATAGCTCAGCCTTGGCTTATAAACTGGGAAGCAACACTGGGTGGCACCAATTGTGTGGGCAAAGAGAGATGCTGGACAGGCAGGTGGGCATGGAAGGTGGGGAACAGCCATTACCTGTATGCTGTCCAGCTGCTGGGGCAGGATGCGGAGAAAGTCATCAGGGAGCTTGCCCAGCAGGGGTGGGTTCCAGTTCCGATAGCGCCTCTGGTTTGCAAGGGGTCCAGAGCTCAGGACATCAGTCCTGAGGGTGGGAAGTGATGAGGAGATGACAGTCGGGCCCAACCACAGATCTGCTGGCCCATCACACCAGCTCCTTAGGCAAAGGCACAGCCCTCTCTCTCATCACCAGGGGCTCTTCTCAGTAAGTCTCTGCTAGCGCCCCAGTATTGACCTTGGGCTAGGTCTGACAGTCATTGCTCTCCCATCGCTCAGGTCTCTAGAACTCTGCTCACAGTGTTAATGTTGATGTAATAGATCTTCACAGATGTTGTGAATATTCCCTACAGACAGGTAAGTCCCTGGCACCTAGCACTGTGCTGAGCTCGTGGTGCTGAGTAACAGATATAGTCCAAAGAAGAGACGCATAATCTGCCAACAGCCCCTCTTGTCTGCACATAGATTTGTTGATGAGGGGAGATGCCAGGGCTCCTAAAGAGAATAAAGGAGATCTGGGCTCCCATTCTGCCTCAGCCACAGCCAGGAGGGTGGTCTTGGGAAGGCCTTGTTCCCCTGCGGGACTCAGTTTCCTCTTCTACACTTTGCCACCTCCCTGTCAAGATGTGGGGAACCCCTCACGAGCTGCATCTTGGAACAGCCTTCTAACAAGGGGGCTGTCGTTCGGAAGGGTGCTCAGGGGCCAGTCTTCCCAGGCAAGGTGTGTGGTAAGAGGCCTGGGCCAAGGTAGAGGCCATCCTCAAGGCACAACCAAGAGAGGAAAAGCGGGGAGGCGGCTGCTCTGACACTTACAGGCTCCCCATTCCACACCCAAGCCTGAGGGCAGCCTGGAGCCCAGCCAAGAGCTCCCCACAGCTCCTCGGCAGCCTGCAGCGTGGCAACCGCAGGACACGTGTTCTGCTGAATCAGGGAAATGACACACTGAGAAGGCATCCAGGCTGGGGGCGGTGGGGGCCACTCTCGTGCTCAGCCTGGCTTTGATTTGGCCTCCAGCTCCAGGAATCCCGCCCGCCCCCTCACTGGAGGGGAGCTTTTCCCGGCTGCCGGCTGACTGTGGAAATAACTTCCTTTCCTTTTCTATTTTGGGCCAGAGGCTGGGTGGGGGCGAGGGGAGGCGGGGGCAGCAGCAGCCGGAAAACCATCTGTTAAGTGCACCCTGCATGGTGGGAGCTCAGCTCACAGCCTGGAGCCAAGGGAACCCCCCATGCACGTGGGCCACCCTGTGGCTATACAAACAAGGAACCATCGGAGAAGGACTCCTGCTTATAAGCCAGGTTTCCTTCACACTGCTCTGTGTCCCTGGGGGAGGCTTCCTTTTCTTCCCAAAGCCTGAGAGGCAGGGAAGAGGGTGCCCCCATCTCTTAGGGCCTCCAAGACAACCTCCAGCCACAGTGGGGAGAAATCCTCCCCAGCATCATTATTCTTCCTTGGGCCTAAGAGCCTTCATCTGGGACACAGGTACCACCTCTAACTCAGCTGCACCTTGGAGCCACCCAGGAAAGCTGGAGAGGGGGAGTCTAGGGAGCTTAGACTTGCACTTGGACCCCTCCAGCCACTTTATTCCTGAGATGTCCAAATGGGACAGCCAAGGTGGAGGGCATTTTTCTCCTCGGAGTTTCTCTTGACTCTGAGCTGGGGTCCTGGAGGAAAGACAGGCCCATCCCCCTGCAGGCCCTGGCCCTGGCAGAGATGAGGTCACTCACAGCTGCTGGAGCTGGAGGGGGTGGGGGCAGCCAAGCCCAGGCAACTCCATTGTGGTCAGAAAGGAATGTCAGAAATGAGGTGAGAGGCAAATAAAAAACTTCCAAGGCTGTAATTTCAACGGAAAAACAGCAGGCGGCCTGCACGTGTGGAGGGGTCCCCTGGGCTTCGGAGGCTCAGACAGATGGAGGGGAGGGAAGGGTGGAGGAGGAGAAGGAGATGGAAACTGGGAAGAAGCCCCAAGCCTGAGGCTTCTGGAACCGCAAACTAGAGCTTCAAGCTTCATCAGACCCCCAGATTTACTTGCAGAATGTCAGACCTGGCTGGAAAGCATTTCAGAGACAGGCTTTCCCGCAAGACTTTTGATGGAGATGGGACATTGAGGTCCAGGCCCTGTCCCAGGGCACACAGATAGATTATTCAGGCAACACCGGGGTGCAGGGAAGGCCCTGACTCTCTGGGCCCAGCAGGGAGATGTCGAATCTCTGAAACTCTGCCCCATCACAGGCTCTCAGATTCTCCAGTGACAAGGTGGCAGAAGGGGGTCAGCCATTGTTCCTATCAAATCTGACCTGCCTCAGCAGCAGAGGTAGATTCCTAAAACACTAACCTGATGGTGCCACTTTCCAGCTTAAAGCCCTTCAGCAGGGTGAGATGGATGCTCCTTGGAAGGCCAAGCGGCCCTGTGACCTCCTTACCTCTCCAGCATGAGGTCAGGAGCTCCCCTCAGTGCGCCCCCTTTCCTGCCGCCAGGCCTTTGCACATGGTGTTTCCTTTGCCCCAAACACCCCCATAATGTCAATGTGTGTGTCACAGCTTGGATAGCACCTTCCCTTCCCCACGTTTGTGGCTCCCCTGATGTCTGATCTCCAGGAGAAAAGGCAGTGCTGTTCGTCTCTGTACCATACGTATGGTTCAGCACCTGCCTGTATGCTGCAGGAGAATCAAGAAAGCTGAAAATGGATGTTCTGGATGCAGATATTAAGTGAGGCCCTGGAGATGGCCCAGGGGGTATCTGGGTCTAGCTGGGCATCAGGGGCAGACCCTATCTCTGGTGAATGCTGGCCTGGGAGGCCTCGTAACTGGTCTCAACATTCAGGGTCAGAGCTGAACCTGGAGGCCAGCCAGCCAGAGCAGCTGGGGGCAGGAAGGAGCAGTAAACCACTGATTATAGGTCTGCTCTTTCCCTGGCACTGTGCTAAGAGCTCCACATGCAGCATTTCATCCAGTCCTCATTATGGTGCTGAAATGCAAATTAGTGATTCCATTTCACAGATGAGGTAAACAAAGTTCAGAGAGGTTAAATAATAAGCCAAAGGCCACACAGCAAAGAATCCCACTCAATCAGAAGTGAGGCAGTTAGGGGTGGGGAAAGCAGTCTGCCCTGTCTGACTCCACAAGTCCAGTTCTCTGTAGTGTATCCACATGTCCACTCCCAGTCTAGCAAAGCCTGTATTTCCAACTCAGGCAAGGCCGACAACTTGACTGAGGTCCACAGAGTCTAAACAAAGTTTCCTGAGCCTTGGCCTAGTGTAGTGCTGAGGTCACCTTGTCTTCTAGTGGGGCTCCCATCAGTGGGATGCACTGCCCCTCCCCCACAGCCCCACCCCAGCCACAGCAAACTGAATACCACACTGGCCGGAGCTGGGGAGGAAGGATGAGGCTGGGTACCCGCACCACATCTGTGCCGGCACTCTCTCTCATAGCCTCAGCTCTCCCTTAGGCAGCACCACTCTGCTAAACAGAAACTGAAGGGATTTTCTTTGCAAAGCATCTTGAGATATTATAAAACAAACAAACAAAAAATCGAGGACAAAATCATCTATCCCCTGGCCATAAGAACCCTTCCAGGCTGCACATCCTGCCAGGTCTCACCCAATCCCACCCACTGATCTCCACCTCCAACTACAACACAGCCTGCACCCCCTGTACCACTCGGGATAGGCCTGTCCTGTTCTTTCCTGGGCAAAACTCAAGACACTGCCCACTCTCTAGAACTCTAACAGCTTTCTAAAACACAGTCAGATTTCTGGTTTAGCCAGGCACCGGTGGCTCATGCCTGTAATCCTAGCTACTCAGTAGACAGAGATCAGAAGGATCATGGTTTGAAGCCAGCCTGGGTAAATAGCTTGTAAGACCCTATTCTCAAAAAACCCTTCACAAAAATAGGGCTGGTAGAGTGGCTCAAGGTGAAGGCTGTGAGTTCAAGCCCCAGTACCACCAAAAAAAAAAAAAAAAAAAAAAAAGAACTTCTGTTTTTTTGGGTTTTTTTGGCAGTACTAGGGATTGAACCCAGGGCCTCCTTCATGCTAGGCAGATGCTCTACTGGTTGAGCCATGCCCTCAGTTTTTTGTTTTTATTTTGTTTTTGAGATAGGTTCTTGCTGACATTTCCTGGGCTGGCCATGAACTTGAGATCCTTCTGCTTCAGCCTTCCCAAGAGAGCATCTGGGATTACAAGGCATGGTTCACAGTCAGAGACTTCTAAGAAGGGAGGTAACAGGACAGGGAGTGAAGAGTAAGCAGCTCTGAAGTCAGAATGACCTGGGTTTAAATCCCAGCTCTTAGTCTTGGGGAGGTCATTAATGATGGGCCTCCTTGAGGCTCAGTTTCTTCATCTATAAGATGGGGCAGTGACAGTGCCCACCTCATAAATTGAGAACCTTGTCAATTTCTGGCATTTGAAGGGTGCTTGGTAAAAGGCAGGTGTTCTTCCTGGCTATCCCTGTATAATACAGTTCTCCATCACTGCTCCAGGTCTCCAGAGGGGAAGAGCCATTGGTGCAAGTCCCCCGTTTTACCATCACCCTACTCCACCTGAGTCATTCTAACGAACAGATGCTCAAGTTAAAGAGACAACACTGGGGCTCCAACAGCCCACCACAAACATGGATCCCAGAAAAACAAGCACTTCACTGACCTATGGGACCCTGTGGACCGCCAGCTTCCTTTTAAGCTTCCAAATTACAGAGTCCCTAACCTGGAAAAAAAATCTTCAGAGACCTTATAGTCCACTCTCCTGCCTCCAGTTATCAAACTATCCCAATGGGAGACTTGCTCCCATTGCTTAAAATGGAGCAACAACAACCCAACAGGGCTGGGTGTGGTGGTTCACACCTGTAATCCCAGCTACTCAGGAGGTGGAGTTAGGAGGGTTACCATCTGAGGCCAGTCTGTGCAAAAGCACAAGACCCTATCTGAAAACAAAACTAAACCAAAAAGGGTTAGGGGTGTGGCTCAAGCAGTAGGACACCTGCCTAGTAACTGAGGGGCACTGAGTTCAAACCCCAGTACCGCCAAAAGAAAATCCCTCCAACATCCCTAGCTCAGAGATGACAAATAGATGACCATTTCATCAGTTACTGGTGACTCTCTGGGAGGGCTGCATTGAGGGGGATTCTGAGGTCTGGTCTTGACTCAGCAGAAAAGGGCACAGTGAGTAATTAGTAAGGCTTCTATGGACTCAGAAGAGGATGTGTTAGTACACATTCCATGTACTCATCCTTGCTACTGGGGTATCTCCATTGACTATTAGCTCCCAGAAAGCAAAGGCTGTGCCACACTTAACTGTGTGCCAGGTAGCATGGGACATACTACCCAGCCTAGAGTAGGAATTTTCTCTTATAATCCTTACATTTTCAAAGTTCTCTTTGGCATCTAGCTAAAATGTCTCTTGCTGCAATAGAAGCCTGTTCTTGGTGGAATAATATACTGAGATGCCCAGCCAAGTTTCCCCGTTTCTTTCCTACACCCCTGCACACCTGGGCTCTGCAACAAGATGGATTCTTACCTGGGAGGTGGAGTCGGGGGAGCCAGAGGATAAGGCCTATCAAACACGTGCATGTGGTAGGCTGGCGGCGAGTACACAGGCGGGGGCTCTTCATCGGAACTGTCAGGTTCTAAAGTCCTTTCCAAGATCTAGATCAGAGACAATAAAGGAATATCAATAATCTATCCTTGAATTTAAATGGCATGCAGACAAAACCCAGTGCAGATGACACGTGTAATAAGGAACTCTGGGCATTGCTGGTGAGAGTGTAAATTGATACAACCACTCCTTTGGAAAGCTGGTCTTATCTACTAACGCTAAACACAAGCTACCTCTGCCCCTGCTGTTCCAGTGTACCCAGCAGCCAGAGCGTGCATGTTCCCACAGGAATGCTCATAGCAGCCCTAGCCATCCAAGTAAGGTTCAAGAACAGGCCAAACAAACAGGGCCAGAAATCAGAGCAGTGTGGGCGCTGCAGGGTGGGTAAAGAAGGGAAGGGGCCCAGGAGACCCCAGGATGTTTCTTGATGTGGGTGTTGACAGAGTGGTGTGTTCACTCTGTGAGATTTCACTGGGCTATGAATTGTGTGCTTCCTTGCCACCCTCTTCAAATTACTTCCACATCTGTTATCTCAAACAGCCTGGCAAGGTAGAACATGGATCATCGCACTCGTTTTACAGATGAGGAAACTGAGGCCAAAGTTGATGAAGTGACGTGGCAAAGGTTATCTACTGGTTTTAGAACAGAGTATTCAACTTGGACTGTGATCTCCACAGCCAGGGACCCTCTTCCAGGTGCAATGCCTGCATACCCAGGTTGAATTCTCAGGGGGAATACAGCCTGCTGTCCCTTCTGGACTCTTCTCTTCACCCAGGAGAGGCCCAGGCTGGACAAAGGCAGGGTTCCTGTTACAGAGGTCTGCAGAGGCATCTGGGATTGGAAATCCCTCCTCACACACCTTAACTTCTTGCTCTTCTCCACTCCTCCCTAATGCTCTGCTTCCATCTCCTCCAAGACTGAAGAACAGGGCAGACCTTAAAAGCTATGAATTGGCCCCACATGTAATTCTGAATGAGTTTGTAGAAGCCATGGCTAAAGCTGCCTTTCTGCTTCTGCCTCTGCAAGTCTGGACTGAGAGCTGCACTGGCACATCTCTCTCTAGACCAGCCGTACCCAGCACTAGGGACACCTTGTCAGTGAGCACACACACACACACACACACACACACACACACACACACACACACACACACACACACACACACACACACACACACACACACACACACACACACACACACACACACACACACACACACACACACACACACACACACACACACACACACACACACACACACACACACACACACACACACACACACACACACACACACACATCCAGCCCGGCCCAAGGAGGCCTCCTGCTCTGGAATGCACTGACATTCTTTCCTTTGAGGCGGAAAGTATTTAAACAGATGCTTCTGCGGGAAAAGAAGAATGTAGCTGCTTTTCAGGCCACTGCTCTGCTTACCCTACATTTCCACAAGAAATGGGAAAGGCAGAGAGACAGAGAGAGCACTAAGTGCTATTCGTCTTCACTGGTGACTCCCTGATGATGCCTCATTTAGGGCAGCAATTCAACAAAAACCCGGGGCCACAGAGGACTGGCTGCTACCACTCACATACTCATAGCCCCATTTTCCAGACCCCTCTGCTCTGAAGGACAGGGTCCCAGGCTGGGGCTGGCCTGGTGAGATGGGAAGGAGAACTCAGGAGGACCTATTCCTAGAGGAACAGCTTGGGCTTCCTTTGACCGTGGCCTGAGGTGTCAGTTTCACAAACTCAGCCCTCCAAACCCCTTCCCTCCACAGCACGGCCTCCTGGGGTCAGCAAGCCCAGCTGTCCAGAGGCTTCTGCAGAGGAATGGGAAAATGGCAAGGGGGAGCAGAGTAGCAGGTGAGCTCCAGAAAGGCAGATCCCCAGTTCCAGGGAGAGGAAACCCAAGACTTGCCAGTCTCCCTGGCCTCTCCTCCCCCACCAGCCACAAGGAGCATGTGCTTCTGGCTCTACTCTAAAGGTGCTGGAGGTGCTGGAGGCTCTGTGGCCTCCTGGCTTACCTCACTGTGGGTGATGGATGCCTGCCAGGTGCTCTGGGGAGGGGGGGAAGGGTCTGAACCATTTATCTGCCAAGAGACATTTCTCTGTAGCAAGGATACCCCTCAGGCCAGCCCACCATCCATCAGTCCCCCAGAGAAGGGGCTTTTTCCAGTCAGCAGTTATTGTCATTCCAGCTGCTGCTCATAAATTTTCCGCTGGCTCAGGAGCTGTCTGCTGATGAGCCCAGGCAGGACTCCAAAAGTGGGGGGAGGGGAGGGCCAAGGGGGTGAAGGGTGCTGAGAAGGGTCCAACCCAGAGACCAAGATCCCTAGGCAAACAGGTGCATACACAGTGCAGGCAATCTAGGGCTGGGGAAGCCTTGCAGGGGCTCACGGGGTTGTGGGCACCATACATGAAGGAGAAAATATCCTACCTGCTGAGACTATAGAGACAAATGGGGCTATAGAAAGGGTTGGTGCTTGCAGGGAACTTCTCAGTTCACACTGAAAGAATGGATCTATGCACGCGCGCGTGTGTGTGTGCATGCACACCTTTCCAATGGCTAATACAGGCAGGTCAAAGGTATGATCCTGAAGAGAAAAGGGTGACATAAAACTGCAAAGACAGCCACACCATTTATTCAGTCAACAAGCATTCCCTGAGTGCCTGCTGTGCTGTAGGCAACACAGGGATGAGCCAGATTGTCATTGTCCACACAGCTTCTCTTCCACTGAAGAGAGAATTCGGGGGTGGCGGTGGGGGGGAGGCGGGGGAGGTTAGGAGGCTTTTTCCTGCAGGATGGCTGTGACTGGGTCTAAGTTTCTCACTGTAAAGGGGGAATAAGAATGTTTGTCACAAAGTGTGTGAAGAGCAAGGTATTTCTCAGGCACTTAGGATGGTGCCTGGCACAGACTGGGACTCAGGAAAGAATGGAGTTTAAGCCCACCTGCTGTCCTTGTGCCATCCATGGCTGAGTGTCTCAGAGGCTCTGCAGACAGTGACACTGTCATAGATAGACTGTATACTTTGCTCCTTCTGCACTGAGAACACAGGTCCTTCAGAGACTGGGGGCCAGATGTGCACTAAACTCTTGGGTGGGGCTGGAGAAGTCCAGCCCCACCCCTACAGGTGAGCCTTGATGCAGTGTGGCAGTCCTCTCTCCCCCACCTCTTTTCTGGAGAGCAGAATGGCTTGGGCATAGCTCACTACCACTCCCCACTCCTGACTCCTGTCTCAGAGCTAGGGCCTTGCCACCTTGCTGTTCTTTTCTACTCTAGGATTCTAACACAGGGTGCTGGGGCCAGTTCCCTAACACTCGTACACAACCTCTGAGGCTTTGCACAACCGTTCCTTGGACTGTTATCCTTTCTGAGCTCTTTGCTTCCTCTGGGTCTCAGCTTGAGAGGGCTATCCCCTCCTCCATCCTGCTTCATCTCTCCCACTCTGGATGGCCAGTACCTAAACTCTTGCCTCCAGTCCACACTGCTCCAGATGGGCAAAAACCTTGTCAGACTTGACTAAGGTGGACACCATGAGGTTCAAGAGCCTTTCTTAACTAGAGGAGTCCAAGCCTGGAATTGGGACTCAGTGTGTGGGAGTGGAGCCTTGGCACTTTTTTTTTTTTTTTTGTGGGACTGGGATTTGATCTCAGAGCTTTGGGCAGGTGCTCTTCCACTTGAGCCACACACACCCAGGCCATTTTGCTCTGGTTATTATGGAGATGGGGGTCTCAAGAACTATTTGCCTGGGCTGGACTTGATCCTCCCAATCTCAACTTCCCAAGTATCTAGGATTACAGGTATGAGCCACTAGTACCAGGTGCACCTGAACTTTTAACAAGCACCTTGATTCTGATAACCCAGACTCAGGGTCTAGCTAGTACTTATGCCTGCCTGACACACCACTGAGTGAGTGCTCAGTGTTTGTTGAATGACTGCATAATTTCTGCCCATAACCTAAGGCCAGTGACAGATCATGCGTTTTCCTAGAGGCACAAGGGCTGCTTAACTGGTTAGAACCTAGTCAGCAGAGTAACCCAGAGCCTCCAAGAGGTCAACTGAGGTTTGAGCTCTTGGTGAATTGTAAGGGCCAAGCTCCCCTACCTCCGGTGGGATGCTGTCCTCGGAGTCCGAACTGTCCTCATAGGCGCTACCGCTTCCAGCCTCCAGGTTCATCTGCAAGAGCTGGTCAATGGTGGCATCCACCGCGCCGCTGTTGGCGCGCAGCACACACTCGATGATGTCGTAATCCATGTTGGGGAACATGGTTTTGAAGTCGTCCATGGCCTGGTTGAACTCGAGGCGTCGCACCTGGCGAGCTGGCCGGCTGTTGTTGAGTTCCTGCGGGGCGGCGCCGCCATCCCCGGCCCCTGTCCCGGTCCCGGTCCCGGCTCCACGTGCCCCGGCGGCGCCGCTCCCGCCGCTGCCGCTGCTGCTCCGGCGGAACAGGCTGGTCATTTTGCCGAGCCGCTTGGGGAAAATGGTTCCGAGCCGCCGCGAAGCGCCGTGCCCCGGGGCCCTGGCTTGCTCCGCGGCCTCGGGGAGCTCACCCCTGCGCCGCCCCAGCGCCCGGGTGGCCAGGCCGGGTCAGGACACTGTGCGCGCCGGGCCCCAGGCGGCCCTCCGGGAGCGGGTCTTGCGGGGCGGCGGCATGCGAACCTCCTCCGGCAATACTAGGGCTGGACCGCAGGTCATCCACACCCCCGGAGCATCCTGCCTCCGGCTCCAACGCACGGGTTCCACCTGAAACGAGGGATACTGAGTCAGGGTCCAGGCAAACAAACAGGAGCTCATGAAACATGGGCAGGAAGGGGAGACCCCCTACCCAGCCCCAGGGAGATCCACTTCTTTTTTTGCAGCTGTCATGCGTAGACAGCCAACCCCTCCCCAGTGCTGGGATTGAACCCAGGGTCTTGCACATGCTAAGCAAGCGCTCTACTTTACCATTTAGCTACCACGCCCCCTCCCCTAGCCAGTCAGTTCTTTACCAATAAGCCAAAGCTGAAGTTAGCAAAGATCTTCCTCTGTGCCAGATGCCACCCTAAGCAGTTGATGTGGACTGACTCATAACGCTCAGGAGGGAGCTACTACCCCCATTTTGCAGGTGGAAAAACTGAAACAGAGTCAAAGCACTCAAAGAAAATAGAAGAGCTAGGATTTGAACCCAGAAAGCATGCTCCCTCCCTACCCCAATACACACCCAGCCACTGGTCTCAACTGCTACACAGACTACACATACTGTCAAGGTCTCCTGAGGATGTGGTTGAGATAAAAGAGGCTCTGTACAGGTGTCCTGTCCCTCTAGTCACTAGCCCCATCCAGACCCTGCTTTGAACATCTTCCTATATGACTACATCACATTGTGATGTCCACCTTGTGCAGAGCCCCAGTGAATCCGGGACACTCCCCAATGTCACCAGGAACTTTCCAACTGAGAGAGGAAACACCCTGAAGGGCCATCCTTGAAGGACCTGTAACTGATGGGGAGGCCCAGCCCCCACTCTTGTAAAGCTCATGTCAGGCTCTAAAATAGAGAGGAAGCAGAGCACTTGCTTCATTTTCCCTAACCCAGTGTTAGGCTGACAAGTTATATTTATATCAGGACAAAGATTTGTTTTTATGGGACACTAAGTGCTCCTGCATATTTAAAAAAAAAGTCCTATTAGTTTCTTCTCAAAAGTGTCTTTTTGGCAGTACTAGAGTTTGAACTCAGAACCTTATGCTTTCTAGGCAGGTACTCTAGCACTTAAGCCACACCCCCAGGCCTCAAAGTTGTCTTAAAGAACCACTTACATCTTAAGTTCTGCTCTTATTCCCACCAAACCAGTCTCCCTGCCCCAGACAACCAGGCCCCATCCTCCAATGCCAGAACAGTGTCCCTGACGTTGTGCATAGATGAAATGGAAAATCAAGCAAGCACAATCGGGAGCTGAAATCTGTAACAGACAACGTGCAGCCCCCTCAGAGCCCGGTATGGAGATCACCACCAAGATTGCAGCTCTGTTAGAGCAGACAAGAAGGAGCAGAATGTGACTAAAAACACCAACTTGTGATTTTCCCTGGCCTACTCCAAGATTTATAGTAATTTTGTTAATTGCAGAAAAGTGACAGCTGTATTTTAAAGAACTGTTCATCAAAGGATATTTTTTCTTTCTTTTCTTTGGCATTACTGAGCTTTGAACTCAGGACCTCACACTTGCTTGGTAGGCGCTCTACCCGTTGAGCTATGGCCCCAGCCCAAGGATATTAAGTTTGATGAAACAAGTGGAAACCCTCTTTTCTAGGATTGGGCATGAAAGCTTAACAGCTGACGGACAAACATCCTGTGAGCAAATCAGTGGGGTTTTTCTTGTCTCCATCAGAGCAGTCAAATGCCTAATGGTGTGAGAAAGACAGGACCAGAAGTGTGTGGGGAGGTGCAGTGGAAGGGACTCCCCACCCAGGGTCATGATTCTCTGTCCCTTTACATCAGTCCCCTCATGGTTCATTGTGACTTCATACGCCCACAAGAGCTTCAAGTGCCACCATGCTGAGTTCCAACCCCCTTAGCACCTCTACCTCCTTGGAGGGATGTGGAAATTGTCAAGGATTCCCATTCTGGGACGTGCTGGCTGTCTGCCTAGTCCCAGAGAGGGGAGTTGGATTTGAAAGTGGGAAACTAGATGCACATGGGTTCTACATAGCCAGCGGACATCCCCTGGCTATTAGGACAGAGCTAACATCCCTTCCAGCCCTGGGAGAACTTATTAACATGATATTGTGTCTACGTGTAGACATGTGTTCTTTGCATATACTACTACAAGTGTGAATTAATTTTACTAAAATTACCATAAGTTCTCCTATGCCATTAGATTTTCTACTTAGCAGTATATTGTGGCCACCTTCCCATGTTCAGAACACAGAGACATACTTCCTCACATTTAATGCTTGAGTGTATTCTGTTGACTGGGTGAAGCATGATTTATTATCTAATTCCCTCTATTGCATCTCTGCCCAGAGAAGCAAGTCACAGCCCAGAGACCAAAGCCATTTCACAAGGAGAAACAGAGGGACAACCTTAAAATTCAGTCCAGTGATTTGGTTATGAGAATTGAACACAGGAAGGTAGCCAAGTATGTTACGGCAGGGCCAAAGCATACTTGCCATAACACCCTCCAAGCAGGGCTCCAATTTGGCAGCTGCTTTTGCCCTGGACCCTAGTATTGGCACACATAGGGTTCAGAGCCTGTGTTAAGGTTGTCTAGAATAAAGCCACCATCTCCCTGCCCCTCTGGTAATTCAGTAAGAACGATGGGAACCTGGCTCTTACCTTGCCATGAACAAGCCTGGGCCACCCCCCGGGGAGGAAGAAGAAAAATGGTGAGGCCTACGTTTTTCCCCCTGGACAGGTCCCTTGGGCTCTAGGCCTGAGGTCTGAGAGGGCCAAGAGGCATTCTGGGACTCCACCATGGACAGTGAACATGCACTGGGTCAGAACCAGGCTGTTGTTTAAGCTCTGCCCCTCCCCACCGGCAGGACCTGAGCAAGCCAAAGTCTCCTCTGCAGGTGTCCCTCGTGCAGGTCAGCGCAGCTGAAACAAGACGCCCCTCAGTGCAGTGCCTGGAATGTGGTTAGCTGCATTCTTGTTGGCTCCACCAGGGCCTGGTGAAGAGCTTGGAGCAGGGGGTGCACTGGCCAAGCTGCTCCTTGGGTGGATGGAAGGGATCTGGGGACTCTCTCCCAGCATCTGCATATGAGCCCCTGGGATTCCTTCAGCTCTCTAGAAGGAAATGAAACGCTGATGCTCCTACTCACAGGGGAAGCTGGCCTGCGCCACGGAGACAACCCAGCTCAAGTAGCCTCTTCCACCCCAGTGCAAAGCCTTGAACATCATTTCTTGTGTATGTCACGACATGAAACCATTTACATGTTATCCATTAACAAGGCTAATCCAGTGCCATCGCCTGCTCCACAGATGAAGAGGGAACTGTCCAAGAATACAGAGTGAAAATGACAAAGTCTAACCTTTCCACCAAAGGCAGTTCTGTGGATGAGAACAGTGGCTAAGAAACAGTGATGAGGAGTGGGGCATGGTTTCATGCCTATAATCCCAGCTACTCAGGAAGTGCAGATGGGACCATTGCCATTTGAGGCGAGCCCAAGCAAAAAGTTAGTGAGACCCCATCTCAACAAACAAGTTTGGTGTGGTGGTATGCACCTGTGGCCCCAGCTACTTGTAAGGCAGAAGAAGGAGGACTGGAAGCTGGGGGTGGGGAGACCCCATCTGAAAAACAAACTAAAAGCAAAAGGACTGGTGGTGTGCCTCAAGTGGGAGAGCATTTGCCTGGGAAGGAGGGAAGGGAGGGTGGAAAGGAAGACAGGAGGGAGGGACTTGGGGGACCCAGGGAGATAGAACTGATGTACAAAACCACCGTTTTCACAGGGCTCTACAAGGGCTGCGGGCTCCTGAAAACACCAGGTGGGGTTTTGAGGGCCCTCTGCTCTCAGAGGACTGTTCCCTTCCCTGCTGGCTACGCCTAAACTGAGGTATGGCCAGCAGTGGGGGAAGATCAGGCTGCCTTTTGCAACTACTATAAGGAAAAGCAGTTTAAAACCCCTGCAAGAATGAAGCATGTAGCTGACTTAGGTTTATGAGCATGTGCCACATTTAATCTTTATTACAACCCCTATGATCTTTCTTACAACTCCCCTGCCTATCTCCCCGTCTCCATTTTACAGCTGTGGAAACTGGTTCAGAGAAGTTAGGCTACTTGCCCAAAGTCACAGAGCTAGTGTGTAGAGAGATCAGAAGTAAGCAACCTACTTCCTAAGAGTCAAAAATGCCAAGTAAGGCTTGCAGGGCTAAGAGCCAAGGAGCCTGAGACATGCAGCCATGAGTGCCCCAGGCTGGGGACATTCCATCAGAGGAAACGTGACCCAGACAGCAGCGGGGAGGGGCGCCTGTTGGCATTGTCCCAGACCTGGCTCTGTGACCTTGGAGAAATCACACCCTCTCTCTGAACCCTACTGCTGAGCACTGGCAGAGAAACAGAGGGAGATAACCCCTGACTGGCATGGATAGAGGAAATGGATATAACCTGCTGAGCCCGTTAGACCTCTCCCTGAAAGCAGGGTATGGGTGACCTGAGGACCTGGAAGCGGAAACCCTATACCTGTTCTCCCCCAGGTCCCAGAGGGCCAGGCCCAGGGTGGGTCTCCACCCACCAACCCCAAAAGGAATCCAGGCTTGGGAGGGGGAGGCATGTAGCCAACCTCCTAGTGTTAGTAGCAGCCAAGGCCTGAGTCACTCTGAGCCTGGCCCAGGGAGGCAGGCAGGCTGCCCTAGTGTGGTCCACCCAGCCTTGTCCAAGCTCAACCCAGCTGGCCTCCTGCTTTAAGAATGGCTGTCCATCAAGGCCAGGACAGGTTTGCACAGCAGCTGGGAGAACCTGGGAGCAAGAGGCCTCAGTTTACATTCTGACCTTAGTAAGGCTGTGTGACTTAGGAAAATTATTTCACTTCTCTGATTCTCAGCTTCCTTGTTGGTAGAAAGAGGGAAAATACCTACCTGAAAGGAATGCTGTGATGGGTCTACCTGTGTCCCTGGAGCGGAGGAAGCACCTAATGAGACAGATTGAGGGGACTTGGGCACAAGCCTTGGACCATTTCCTAGGCTATACTCACTTCCTGAGTACGCATGTCTGTGTGCATGGCTTTACACACTGGCTCCCATACTTACTTCTCTTGCATTTTCTGATCTCTGC